CTGCGTCGCCGTCGCGTGTTGGTGTCAAGAAATATCAAAACATCACATCAAATAAATGTTGAATACGCCACAGCGAACTGCAAGGGCCGAACCACTCCTCCATATGCCCTCGCCAGCTACCCCCGGGCCCAGCAACATCTTGTCGAACTTTGGCCCAAGTTTTTTACTCAGCTAGTTACAGGTCGGACCGACAGTTATGTTAATTCTTGTGTTAGGTTTCGTTTTCGTTCACTTTGGTGAGCTCTATTCATATTTCATATTTTCATGTGGCATAGTTCGCGTGTTAGTCGAGTGTTGCCCCGCCCCCAACACCCAAGGGGGGAAATGCCGCGACAAAGTGGTAGATCGTTTAAAAAACAATAAAACACGAGCCCGAACTGCAAACGAGGCACAACTATTTAACTACGGATAGTAATTAAATTGTTATGCCACAAGACGGTGGACAGTTTTCAATTATGTGCGCCCATAAAAAGTCCAATAAACGTTAACAAATACTCACATCGTGTGGAGCATGATTTAGGGCTATACGAGTATTAGATAAGTGCACTCATAAAACGGGTGAGAAAACTCCCAATCAATGTGCGCTGGCTATGGGGCGGAGCATAGTTGATAAAGCTAAAGCCCAGATAACTTTTATACAAAATTGAATATGTTTAACAATTACTTTAAAGCTTAATAATTTCCCTGTAATGCCCTTGACCCATTAAAAAATATTTAAAAATTTGTTTGTAATGGAGAAAAAAGGCATTCGAGGCCTTTAAAGTAAAGTATAACAAGTATAACGACTAAGATATGCTCCGCACTTAGCTTTTAAAAGTTTAAAAGTCCTTTCAGCATATTCGTTTTTACGAATATGACTAGTAAGAAGTCATGTACTTGGCTAAAACATAGACATCATATAAATAAGAGTTTTTTTTTTTACTATACAGTATGCAAACCATATGCAGAACTATTAAATGGCTTCTAAGTTAAATATTATATTTATAGTTTTATAGTTTCAATATTTTTTACTTCTTCCTGTTCATGTGATCCATTTGATTAACAATATATTGTTAGACATATAAAAAACTAGAGGAATTTCAAAGAGCCTAAATGTATATATACATTTAAATAGTAAAGTCGATTTGTCTTATTTCACTATAAAATATTATTTTTAGTTTATATATTTAAAACTTGAGGAGTGAGTAGCTACTCCCTGAATACCGACTGCATTCCGCTGGTTACTCATCTAGCTATCGATTTATATCTGTAATTTGAGCTCTCTGTCTAGATGAAATTTGCTGTCGATTGACAAATTCCTGGCCAAGTTGTCACTGGCAAATCCCTTGCAAGAATGCAATTAATTTTTGGCCGATGTACGGTGAATTGATTTGAAGGTAGCATAGGAGAGCTTTTCCATTTTCTAGCAGTCAATATTCCCGTGCTGCCACTCTTACCCGCCCAATCGTTCCAGGGTCTGTGATATGGTCTGGTTATTGAAAAATGCTGATTAACACATTAGAGATCATTGAATTGAATGCAATGAATATGAATGCAAATGTGAATGTGAATGCGAGTGCGAGTGTATGTAGGCATTTCGAAATACGCATTTTGCTGGCAAGCTTCTGCTGTGCGTGAATGCCAATATGTCGAATGCTACCATTTATAACCATGATTGCTGATTATGCTGTTTCCCTGGCTGAAAATGGATGACATGACAGATGGACTGAGGCAAGCATGTGCGCGCACAGCCAGAGACCGAGCCAGAGCCAGAGCCAGAGACTGAGACTGAGATCGAGACCAAGACTGCGATCAAGACTGCGATCGAGACTGTGGCTGAGATCGAGACCTGCTCTTCGTCTGCGTCTCTTGTCCAGCTCTTGAGGTTGGACTCAGTGACAGTTCGGTTGCAGCGGGTCGCAAACAAGAACTCTTTATTTAAATAATCATTTTTTCTGACAGCCAACTTGACTTCCAGATCGGCATCCAGCAACAGCCTCAGGCTCAGTCGCAGCGACAACTGCCATGTGAGAAGCTTGGCTTCATTCTTGAGCTCCATTCCGTGCTGCATTTCTTTTATACTTATTTTATGTTATTATGATTTTTCATTTTCTTTTCATTTTCTTTTCTTTTCCCTTTGCTCTTGCACGCTTCAATTGTTTGTTTGACTTGCTCGAGACGCGCGACGTTTAAGCGCCCCATACGGATTTGGGTTCGGACATGGAGCTGGCCTCCACTTGCACACGTCATTGTCATCCCACCTCGCAGCTCCGAGCTCCCAGCTCCCAGCTTTGGGGTGCGGCGCGTGGGGATCACTGGCGTCGTTTAATTGAAAACGATGCATGTAAATGACACTTTTCAGCATTAATAAGCAAATATTTGTATGATTATTGGTGTAGCAAGGGGATTACGTTCCAGCTGTAAGTGGTAGGAGCGCTCTGGCTGATATCTGATCGAAGTCGGGCTGCTGTCGTAACAGGTAAAGTGCCTTAACTAGTTTCGAACTCTGGAAGTCAAATGCGCCTGTCACATCGATTCGCCCAACAGGTTCAGAGAAGCTCAAGAGAACGTATTCAGTAGGGGATGCGATACAAATCAATCACTTTCATTATAGGTAGATCAAAATAGTAGCCAATATAATTTGATATTTCACAAAGCTAATAAATGTATGTTATTTAAAAGCGGATAAGAGCTGTTTTTTATTATGAGAATATTTGATCCAAATTGATGATCAGTTGAATATATCTCAAATGCAAATATTTCGAGTATAGAAAATATATTATAATACAATTATTATAATAGCAATAGATTTTCTTAAACTTTTTTTCGATTTGAATTCTAAAAATGTAGAAATTTTTGTTTCTTGCCATATTTGAGGATTGCTTGTTTGGAAGGTTTTGCATAACTAAATCTCAACTGAATCGCAACGTAAATCGCAACTGATTTCAAAAAGCTTTACACCAATATATCAACACATATATATATAGCAACAATTAAGCCCATATCTCATTATAATTGAGTTTAATGGTTTGGGAAATATTTAATTTGTTATTACGAATAATGGAAAATATACGCCATTTTTTAGCGAAATTCTGACTATAAGAATTAAAGGAAATTCGAAGAGTAAACATTTTTGCCACTTTTAATATATTTTCTTAAAAATACATTTATTGTACGTTAATTGAGATAATTACAACCAAAATCCATAGTAAGATAACTATCAGACAAATTTTAAAATTAAAAAAAATTTTTCGCTTTAAGTTCTTCGATATCCAGCAAAATGATTTATAAAGCGCTCTTAAGCTTAAAAATATTCGTTTACGGCTTACAGCGATCAGAGCCAAATTACGAACATATTAATTATGCATTTTATAATTCATATACACAGCATCCCCATATTTGAGCCAAATACTGAGCGCGCAGTTTATCATGAATTTCAGTTTATCATCCGTTGAGTATATTTCTTAGTTGGCTAATTTCAAGATACAAAACTTCTCAGCGCCGTGACAAGTGACAACCTGACTGACTGCACAGCATTGACAAAATTATCTGAAATATGCAAGAAATATGCCAAAGTGGTAGATAAGGGGGAGGGGGGAGGGGGAGCGGGGAGAGGGACTGTGTCTGAAACAGCAAAAATTATGAGAGACCGGCAGGCTAAATCTTTGGCATTTGAAGAGACATTCTTATTTTTAGGTGACATGCCCTCGGTGGGACGTCTGACGCACTTGGTTCTTTCGCGTATATCTGGACTGTCAATCAGTTTTGAAAGTCATCGTTTTTTTGATTTAAAAATTTTATTTCATTTTGTTTTGCTTTTAGCCTTTTGCGGTTTTTGTTGTTGTTGTGGTATGTAATATTATAAACACCTAATTAGGCATATCTTGTTTAACTGGTTTAATATATTCATTTTGTTAGCTGTGATCTATTGATGGCAGCGTTTAAATTGACTTTAGTCAATGGGCTTAGGTGAAAGCTGAAATGACAATTATCAAAACTATTTAATAGTTTCTTAACCATATATCCAATATATTTATAATTTTATAAATTTGGAATGTTAAATCGAGTCGAATAAGGTGCCAAAATGATTAATGGTCTAATTGAAGGATTTATGTGTTTATCCTTGATAATCGCACGAAATTTACAATATATCGGCCCTTATTGGCGGAATTTCTTATTGTGCTTTGTCTAAAAAATTGCTTACATATTTATTAGCGATATATATATATAGCGAAAATGTAAGATAAGTATTAATATCTAGCTGTGCTGATTGACGCCGACTTACTATATATAAAATGAGTTTTGGCCGCTTATTTATATAAAAATGGCGAATTAATCAACAATTGTTTTGAACATTCTGGAGCAAACCCTTTTTTTTGTGATACCCGGATAGCCTTAGCCACAAACTAATTAATATAAACTATGAAATTAAATAGAAAAATTAAGACAACAGTTCCCACATCCGAATCCGTGATGCCCTTATGCCCCAATGTCCCTGCCATTGTTGTAATCATCCGAGCTTTGTTCAACATTTAAAAATCCAAACGCCAAGGTCTGATTATAAAATTTAATGGTTGTTCCAATACATAAACAGATTTGAAATGAAGGAATAGAAAGGCAAAAAAAGAAGATATCTATAAACTTTTGAAGCAGTTTTCGAAGTTGACAATTTCAAGGGTTTGAAAAAATGACACACCTGATTTTTGAACTTTCTGCCTATTTAGAAAAATCATATAAAATATTGATTTATTTATATTAACTTTTGACGAATCGACACTACTGCGCTCTTTAAAAAGACACAACTTTTATTTACAATAAAATATGCCTTGAAGTTCATAAATTTACACCTCGTATGTAATTGCTTAGGCAACTCCCTCCCTTGCCCGGCATTAGCAGATCTTTAGCCACAACCAATTACATATTCATAATTGCTAGCATGTACTCAGATAGTATATATATGTATGTAGAGAAGGGAGTACCTTAATTAGGTAAACATAACTTTTGCTTGGGGCAAAACTCACCTTGTGGCTTGGGAACATTCCGTTTGAGCTGCATCCACTTGTAAGTTGGAATGTTGGCCGCGTGATTTGGCGATTTTGATTGTGAGCTCGCTTGGTGCGCGGAGTTGGCTGCCGACGCAGATGTTGTTGATGATGAGGTGGAACTACCAGGCGATGTGACGCCACCGCTGCGATGATTCCGGGCCATGGTCATGCAATTGGTCGAGCCGTTTGGCGATATCGAATGCTGTGGCACCACCTGAGCCTGCGAGCTGTTTGCCTGTTGCTGTTGTTGCTGCTGCTGTTGTTGCTGTTGCTGCTGTGCCTGCTGCGCGCTGGTAGTCAAACTGGCCAGATGGCCATGACTGAGACTGTGATGCAAGTGGGCGTGTGGATAGTCCATGGCAATGCCCGCATCCAGCGGATAGCCGCCGCTCATATGCTGATGATGATGCCACATCTGCGGCGGCGACTGTTGCTGCCCGGCAGCCAGCTGCATCATCGGATCCGGATCCTCCAGCAGCATGCCAGGCGGCGGTGCCGCGTAGCCTGCATGCAGCACCGCTGCATATTTCTCCTCCATTTGACCGCCATAGCCATGCGGCTGCGTCTGCGCCTGCTGCGCTACACTGGGCGAGTAGAGGCAGTCCAGATTTGTGTACATCATGCCATTCTCGGAGCTAATGATGGGCGCATGCGCATCCAATGCCTGCTGCTGCTGTTGCTGCTGCGTCGCATTGGCCGCGGTTACCGGTGAATTGTTTGCAGGTGGCGGCACCGTTGCCACAGCTGCTGTGGCATAGTAGGAGTGTACTGAGTCGCTCTCATAGTAGGAGTCGGCGGGCGAGTGGCTAGTGGGATGCAATGGAGTGCTGTTGGGTGCCGCTACCGCCGCCGTGGTGGTTATGCCATACTCCGCAGCGCTGGGACTGAACAAATGCGAATGCGGATACAGTTGCTGCTGCTGCTGTTGCTGCTGTGCAAGTGGATGCTGCAGCTGGTGCTGTGCTGGCGGCGGCGTTAGCTGTTGCTGCTGCTGATAGTAGTTGGGCGAGTTGCTGTCATAGCCACTGTAGGCCAGTTGCTGGTGCTGCTGCACTTGCTGCTGTAGTTGCTGCTGCTGCTGATGCAGTTGCTGCTGCTGTTGTTGCTGCTGCTGTTGCTGCTGCTGGTGGTGGTGGGTTGGGGAGGGAAAGTAGTTGCTGCCATAGCCATCAAAGGCAGTGGCCGTGGCATGTGGATGATGATGAGGATGGTTGCCGTACATGCTGCTAACGTCCATCATATTGTATGCCAATACTGCACTCAAAAAATTTTATTGTCTAAAACAAGTTGGGAAAATTGCCTAAATTTGTGTCTAAAGTTCAATGTTGCTTAATTTGATATTGCCTAAAATTATAAGACCATTTAAGAGTTAAATATTAGCCATCGAGTGATTCAAAAGAGACCATTAAGAAATAATATAAATAAATAAATTTAAATTTATTTATTTAACTAATAACAGCTCAAAAGGATAAAACCATCAAGTAATATATGAGTTGAAAATATTTAGCTAGCTTTAATTATTAATATAAACGAAAAGCTTATACAGGGTATTATATTGAATATGGAATATAGAAAAAGTCCCTGTTCGGGCGCCTGCAGTAAAACAATTAAAGTGCTGCCAAAATATGAAATTGAAATTTAATTATGGCTTCGAAAATAGTCAATATTTTAGGCAATATATATTTTATATTTTGCTTTGGTCAATTTCAATATTTGTTTTATTTTTTGAACACAAACTAACTTTTTGCAAATACGAATTTGTTGAGTGTGCCAACAGCTTGTCGAAACAGAGGCACGTTTAAATATTTAAATAATTGATTATAAACACGCGGCTTTCGTTTGACTTTCAATACATTTTGGCACACTGTCATAAACATTTATAAGAAACACGCCATAACAGTTTCAGTTGCAGTTCCGACGGTTTCTTTTTTATTTACTACGCGACGGTTCATGAACTTCGTGCTGCATGCGCGCTAACCAAGTCGTGACTGATTGCTGGCCGGACGGGCAGCCAACCCAGCAACACACACAGCGACGAGCGGCATGCCTGCAGGCCACGCCCAGGGCCGGCAATATCTGTCGTCTCGCTTCCACCTACTGGGCTAGGCCTGTGCCACGGCTGGCGGGCGTAGTGGCATCTCGCTCGCGCCACCGTTCAGTGCCGGGCACAAGAGCTCTTATCAGTGTAGAACTGCCGGCACCGGCTACGGGGGTTAGTCATTACCGGTTTTGGCAGTTTGCTGTTTTCATTTAGTTTTTGCCGGTCCCAGGGCAAATGCTGATATTAGAGTTACGCCCATGTTCATGTCTTATTTAACTGGAAGCCACACACGCACACGCAGGCACACACACACGTAGGCACACATACATATATGGCAAATACATATGAATACTTTGTTCCTTTTTGATACTTTTGGCACGTTTTGTTATTTGTGTTTTCGCACCTACACGCAGCCAAAACTCCCAAATGAATTGACAGTGCAGGTAGTGGCCAAAATTGGTCAACGAAGCTCGGCAGGGGATGCAGCTGTCAATCGTCATCATCATATCCACATATGACAGGCCCATCTATGGCTGCTGTGGAATTTAAATCGCCTTCTTGTCTCGTCTCGTCTCGTCTCGTCTCTGACTCAGTGGGATGCAATTCGTAGGCGCCCCCTACGAGTCTGTCACACTGCCCAGATAGAGATACAATATTCAAGATATCTTTATGCCCAAAAACCGGCATTGCACCTTTCATGCACAATGCATCATCTTTGGCTGCCTGTCTGTTTCTCCTGTCTGTCTGTCTGCCTGTCTCTTTGGAAAACTTTTGTGTTTCTTGTTGTTGTTGTCGTTTTTTTTCTCTTGGTTTTTGTACAAGTTGATTGACATTTTCACAAGTTTTTGTCGTGTACTCATAGTTGGTGGTTTGCTGGCCGTGGCCCAACCCACATCCCAATCCCAAACGCAATCCACTTCCCATTCCCATTCCCGTTGCCAACAACTTACTTTGAGCTGCTTCACAGTCTCGTCCTTTTGGGTCTGCGCCCAGCGCTCCAAGGTGATTCGTTATATTTTCGGACAGCAGCAATTAATAGTAACAGGATGTGTGTGTTTTTATATTCAGCTTCCAAGCGTACGTGGAGTTCCACATTCAACGGTCCCACATGGCAAGTGGCCATGTTCCACCTTTACGCTCGCACGCGGGTATGAGTTTTTAATGTTATCAGCAGTTGAGGAAATTGGGTCTTACAAGGAATATAAAGGTATCTAGATGTTGATTTATATATAAGAACGTACTCTAAGCCCAGCTACCCAGCACTATAAACTTCCATTGTCTTCAAATCGAATTTTAAATGCAAAATTTTAATTAGATCTAATCTGATTTCTGGGGTCTTTAAACAAACAATAAATTTACTTTAATAAGTATATGCTTCATGAAAGCAACAATTAAAAATATATATAAAAACTGCGTTGAGCTTGCTTAACTAAATAAAAATTATTTATAGAAGGAATCATGAGTGAGAAGGAAAGTCAAAGGCTGAGAAAATGCCACTCATGTCGGATATAGATATTTACTTATAATATTGGAATATTGTATACTATAACGAAACTGGCAAGATTCCTTACTGTTACAGTGGATGTGGATGACAAGTAATAGAGTTTTCTCAAATCTCTCCTCTGAATAGGAAGTCAAGTCAGTTGGTAAGCCTGCAGTAATTCGACTAGATTTTTCTAAGGCTATAAGTCCTTTGAAAATGAGGTCTCTAACGAAAAAATGTAATCTTACGAAACGAAACACAAGAATGATAAATTAGCAGCAAGTTCTAAGGTTCATATTTATACAATATTAATACAAATAATTATATAATAATACTAATAATTATGATTTATATTGTTATTATTATCATTTATATAATATTAATGCAAATAATTATATAATAATAATAATAATTATGATTTATATTGTTATTATTATTATCATTTTTATTATTATTATTATTATTAACGTTATATTACTAATAATTATGATTTATATTGTTATTATAATTATCATTATTATTATTATTATTATTATTATTATTAACGTTATAATTATTTTTATAAGAATAACTTTCGTGTTAAACATATCTATTCCTCTTATACTTAAATATTAGAAGACTTCCAAAGAATATATTCCTTGGAATATGGAACTTGTGATAATTTAGCTTTTAGTTTTTATTTAAATTTAGGCGTTTCTCCGTATTAAAGTTTAAGCAAACAAAATTTTTAGGTAAAAAGCTTAGTTCAATGCGAGTATATAAGATCCTTTTCACCAATTTTATAAAGTGCCTTCAACCTTCTACTCACCTTATTTGTTAAAGTAATATTACTTATACTAATTAGTAATTAAATTAACATATTGGGAAAGGGGACGGGGAGACAACTGGTCACATGTAAGTCACATAATTAAAGTCTATAAATGCTTTTGACGCCGTCGGAGGTATGACACTTAGATTTGACGAGTACTTTAGAAGGCGTCAATGGTCAGGCGACAATTGACTGATATTTCGACTAAGCTCATTCCAATTGTTCCCAAAAAAAAAGTGACCAAACCCTTGACGCCAGTGTATGCGGGGTAGGGCAGGGGGCGTCAGCCATGTGGCTGACAGCACGTTACAAAGCGACTTTGAAAGTTTTTCTAACTTCCAGTGGCAGCTGCCCGTATCCGACCGGGTTGGAGACGTGACGAGTAACAGTAACAAGCGTAATTGGCGCTGCATAAATTGATGGATTGCCTGGCGCCGACTGTCACAGCGCCGAGTGCTGCGAGTCCGAGTCCGAGTCCGAGTCTGTGTCTGTCGCATTGGCGGTATTTTGTAGTTTTCTTTTTATATTTGGGTAAATCGATATTTGTGCCATTTTTTGTGCAGCTTTTGGTTTTTTTTTTAGTTTTGTTTTCAATTCTGTAATGATTAATTAATTGTACGCACTTATCGGGATTTACTGTACCCTGTTGCCTGTTGCATTGGCAGACGCCGAAGACGACGCCGGCGCCGACGGAGCCTGTCGCCAAAATGTTAACTGGGCTTCAACCGAGTCTCCTCTAATTGAATATGTAATTACAATTCGACCAGACGTCCTCATTGTTTTAATTAATACGATTTTAAGCTTATTATTGGTCAAAAACATAATTGGAGCATAAATTCATCACAAGTAAATCGTTTTAAAGTGCAGCGAAAGAGTCTCTTTTCTATACACAAATAGACGTGGATCTTCTTATTGATTGATAGATTTAATCCCACATGACTTATTATAAATTAAATGGGTGCATTTTAAAACTTATGTAAGTACTATACTTGCGTATGATCCCACTCTGAGATAACCCGTACATACCTCTTAATTGCCTTAATATGTATTATACCATTACTATGTACCTATAAAAATTCAGATTATTTTACTGTCATATATTTCTTTTATATACACATTACTTAATAAACAAATAAAGTGGAGAGAGGTTTAGAGTTAGAGAAGGAGATGGAGGGATAAAATGAAAGAGCGAGAGAGAGTTCCAGCTCAGAGAATATGTACTATATTAGACTGAAAATATGGACAGAAATAAAGTTATTTAGATTGCCAACACAACTCGTTTATATGAAACATAACATCCTTGGGTCTTACTAAAATTCATGAGAATCGCATAGTAGGGCAATATTTAAAAATACGTTATGTTCAATTTCCTGCATAATTGGGAGAGTGATTAAAAAATGAAGGTAACTTCGCCTGCGTTTGATATATATTAACATACTGAGTGGGTTTAAATAGGACATGCCTTAGCTAAGTTGAATCTTTAAATTTTGAACGTAATATTCCTCCTTGATAATTTGCTCACACTACCTTGAATCGCCATATTCCTTCTAAGGGATGGATTTGATTTCATAATTAAATTTGAGTTTCATACAACAGTGCAATAATTGTGGGTGGAATTATCTAAAACCCATCTTATAAAAAACCCATCAAATAAATATAGCATAAAATTCAATCAGTCAGTTAGTGAGGAAAAAAGTTTGGTATATTTATATATGCTCATGTACGCTTCGGTTGAAGTTTTGCTATAAAAATAGACACATACTAAATTAGTTCATATTAAATAAATTTGATACGTGCGCGCACATAAAAGCTTTATGTCAGGGCGAAAGGTATAAATAAGTAACGTTATCTTATCGCAAATTGCAAAATGGTTGTTTATCGAATTATTTTTTTTTCCCTGAAATTTCACCCTTTGCAGCTCAACGTTTAACAAATACTAGGCTTAATACGCAAAAAGTGAAAGGAAATTATATTCATTTAATTATGTATGTATTTATATGTAACTGACTTAAATATCTGATGGCATTAAGTCATTTATTTATTGCAGTATTTACAATGTGAATGAATTAACAAGTGACCTTGGCTTATTGAAATGCAAATTTATGCAAAGCTTTCATGTTAAAAAAACAAATAATGCCAAAGACTTTAATATGGGGGCAACTGCTGAGTTTCTTTCATTTTGCACGCGGATAAAGTAAGAGCGAGACAACTAGAGCAACAGCTCTTATCCGCTGCTCAAGCGAAACGGACCAATGGGAATGAAGACGATGTGGCTTCGACCACGATTGGGTTCCAGCGCAACCCTTGTGTTTGCCCAGCTTCAGCCACAGGACAGCTGCATGGAGCAGACAATACTGAAATTTCATATGTCCTCGACTGCAGTTGAATCATCAGTTGCCAAATTTGTACAGATGCTGACAGAGGACAAAAGGAACGTGTTGTTATACAAATTGAATAACCGGATAGAAAAATGTGGCCAATAATGGCGGTAAACATATAAACGGGAAGAATTTTTTAGCACATCATATATCGCACACAAATAAAATATGTCTATACCATCATATTTGATGATGGATTCGAAAAAGGTAACATGGAGACAGAATGAGAGTAGCTACTATTAAAACATAATGAAAAGGTATGGAAATGAAATGGAATGGTATAAAATGAATGAATTCACAAGTAAATGTGCAATGTGAATGAGAATAGTTTTAGTGTTAAGCATTATTTGTGAAAAAGAACGTAGCACCTGTGTCAAGAAAGGGAATCTGAAAAGGTTCATAATATATAAATAATAATAATAATTATGTTAATAATAATATTCAAAACAATAATGAAGATTCAGTCCTTAAAAATTATTATATAATTATTCTTAATTATTTCAGTCCTTCTGGGCGTGCATTATTCTGTCTGTATATTCCTCTGTCCATGCGTTTTATCACACACAAAGCGACGTACACGCACACATGCACGATGCATAGAGTTTATTAGTTTGGCAATGCTAATATAGATCTTATATATAAGTATGGAAAGCCGTAAGCCTTAAACCTTAAGAAAGCATTTGTTTTTAAAATGCTGTGCATCGATGTGCAATAGATATAAGTAAGTTTGGTCTGCCCTTGGTATACATACATACATACATACATATGTAAATACATGTACAGAAACAATAAATTAAATAAAACATTCAGTTATACATAAGTTGATATATTTATGCATTCATAAAACAAAAACATATGCACACATATTTGCAAGTATTCATACATACATATATAAAAAATGCACAAGCTAATTTTAAGAAAATCTCTATATTCTGTTTCCCTTGCTCACTAACTGCATATATGATATATGTTTTATTACCCCTTTGATTGGAATAACTACAACAATTTATTTATATTAACTCTTTTTATATTTATAGCTTTAAATAACTTTTTTTGCGCCATCTTTCGGAATTACTGAACGCGCAAAATTATAAAGCATACTCTTAGGCGGAACATAAAAATTTATTGAATCACGAGCTAGGGCTTTCGAATGGGCTTTCGATATCTGCAATGTAACATTTTTTATTCAATAGCTGCAGATTAATGGTTTGTTTGTAATTTAAATTTACGCAAAGTGTTGAACATTTTAGAATTATCGAAGAGGGTTTCACGAGATGCATACTAGTAAAGTGCAAAGAAAAGAGTTCAGTATTTGTTGAATTGAGAATCATTTTAAGAGAAACTAAGAGTGATAAGCATAAGTAAGAAGTAAAAGTTTAAACTATTACCGATTTAAAAGCTAGTCAGTTAAATATAAAATAAAAATATTATATCCTATAGACTTAAATGAAGTACTTTTCTGTTATTGCAGTTATTATGCGAGGTGGCAGAAGCACCTTTTCACGATGCTTCGATGCAAAAGTCAATTACACGACCAGACTATGCCAAAAACCTGTCGATGGCTGATAAACTTGTTGAGATCGTCTCCAATTAGGCGCACGTCTGGAGGTCTGGTGTGCACAGGTAGCATCATGACCTTGTCGTGCATGGCAGATCACAGGCGGGCGACTGGTAACTGGGGCGCTTAATTGTGGCATTGGGTTAGTGTACCATTAACCTGTGTCCAGGGCACTATATAAAGGCTCTGGCAGCCTGAAGAGCTCTTGTGTCAGTTTAGCATTCGACAGGACAAAACGTTGAAAACATACTCTACTCAAATGTCCGCTATGTTTACCAAGGTAAGAACACTGATTGTTGATACTAAAATAAAACTGCGCAATCCTTAAAGATAATTTTTTTATAGATTCTGTTGTTTACCGCGTTTTTTGCTTTGGCCAGCGGTGCCCTGCTGCCTCGCAAAGCGGCCAACAGCGAAGACACCTTCGATGCACATCCTCGCTACTCCTTCGGCTACGATGTACAGGATGCGGTGAGCGGCGATGTCAAGTCGCAGCAGGAAACACGGGACGGCGACTTAGTTCAGGGCCAATACTCACTGAACGATGCGGATGGCTATCGGCGCATTGTGGACTACACGGCCGATGCGAAGCGTGGCTTCAGCGCTGTGGTGCGACGTGAGCCACTGAATGCCGCGGCACCAGTCGCCAAACAGCTGAAAGTGGTTGTGCCAATGCCCAAACTGCAGCCTGTCCAGCCAGTGGTGGTTAGAAGCTATGTAGCACCCACCTTGATACACCATGCGCCCGTCGCACATGTTGTTCACGCAGCCCCCGCACCCACCATTGTGTCCCATCACGTGCCTGCCCTGTTGAAATCGCCGATACACGTCGCCCATCCTCACACCATTTCATATGTGTTCCAGCACTAGAGAGTGAGAGAGAAACTAAGTCTGATGTCATGCATTTTATTTTAATGTTTTTTAAATAAACTCGATTTTATATTGAATTGAATTTAATAGACGTTAACATTTACCTAATAATACGCAGCATGATTTTGTTATATTTTTCATATGTGTTTCAAATTTCAATATAACGCAGCATGATTTTGTTATATATTAGTTGAGGGTATGTTCTAGTCGGACACTCGCGACTAAAGTGTTTTTTTGTTTTTAAATAAACTCTGCGTTATAATAAATTGAATTTTATATTCGTAAACATTTACTAACATTAAGCCGGCTGACACAAGTTTTCATATATGTGTCAAATTTTAATAATACGCAAAATGATTTTGTTATATTTTAGTTTAGGGCATCTTCTAGTCGTACACTCCCAACTAGAAAACGCTTACTTCTTCAATGAAACCTTTTCTTTGGAATGTGCAAATCAATTTTTTAATTTGTTTTTCTTTCTATTGTTTAGAGAATCTTTCTCCCAATGTATCACCTATGTTTTCTTGTGGAATGGAAAATGTCGAGTTAAATAGAATTGCGTATAGCATTTTAAATGGAGTTATGAGCGAAATGCTTTGTGAATCAAAAAAATAATCTAGTCCAACTTATAATCTTAATACAGAGTATATTCTTTTATTATATTTGATGAATTATATTGTTGAACATTTTTTCTTGACATTCCCCTAGGAAACAGTTCTGGTAAATCAGATGCATTGATTAATCTGTTTGATTAATTGCCTTTTCTTCCTGCCAATTTGTACTCACGCGAATAAAATATACCATATTTTTTTCTTTTTTTATTACATTTTTATAATAATGCCATCAAAGCTTTAAAAAAAGATATAATGCTGTTAAAGAAGGAAAGGAAAATTTAAAGACATATTTATTTTTTTAAAAAATGTACCTTATAATAGAATTAATCCTGTTAAAGCGTAGATGGGCAGTATTGATATTTCCTATAAATGTTGTCACAACTTAAATCGAAATAAGAACTCTAATGAGCTTAAAGTACATAAATATGGGCCTTTATTCGGCTAGCTACAAAATCGTATGCAAGTCCAAGATTGGGGTTTCCACATTTCATGTGCGGAGTCCACATCGGAAGTTTGGAAGGTGGCGACAACAAAAGCGAGCATGTGAAATCCAATTAGAGCTCAAATTGAGCGCCAGCGCCTAATAAATGTTTAAGGTCGCGTTTGGCTGGTCTTGGAAGGGGGGAGGGGGGGGGGGGTGGTGGTGCGGGTATAGGGCAACAAAAGGTGCCATTTGGGTTGGTAAAGAGACAAGGGTGTGCGTGTGTGTGTGTGTGTGCATGCAAGTGCACGGGCACAGTCAATTTGAAAAACCGTTGTTATGCATTTGCGCATGCGCTGCATACGTTATTACACACAATGGGTGTGCGGTGTTAGTGTGTGTGTGTGTGTGCGTGTGTTTGGTGTGTGTGGTTTTCGAAAGCGAAAACAAATAAGCGATCGCATCGATTTAGTGGCTCGCAGTGCACAACGTTTGAGTATGCGACTTCTGAGTATCTGAGGCCAATATTAATTCGGCTCGAGTGCGTCCAATTCAATCAAGAAGGCATTATGCCTTTATGGTTGTTGCTGTTGCTTCGGTTGTTGTTGTTATCATCGTCATTGCTGCTGTTGCTTTTGTCACTTGTGCGCTTAGCCTTGGTTAATAATGTGCTTGGGCCGATCGGCTGGCCAATTGCCTGCACCGCCCGCCTGCTACAGCCGCTTCTCCACCTCCACCAGCTCCACCAGCTACCACCTACCACATTGCTTCTAGTCTTGCTCGTCTGGCTGGCATTTTAGTATTGGTTGTTTTGTATTTTGGTATTGTCGCCAGCGTTTTGTGACGCAAGTGCACGCATTTGGTTACGAATTCGGGCACATCGCCTCGAGCGCGGTATAAAAGCCCCAGTTGGACACTGTTCAAATCAGTTCACATCCAATTACGGTATCTAGAGCAACCCAAGCAAACCTCAAAACAATGGCATTCAAAGTAAGCCAAACAGCCTACCCCGACAACAAAAAAAAAAAGAATATGCTCTCCAAAGGATTAACAGCTGGTATCCTTACACGTGGCCCATCAAGTGCAAAGTGAATCTAAAACGTGTGTGTGTGTGTGTGTTTCGTCTACTTGCAGTTCACCATTCTCTTCGCCGCCTGCATCGCCGTGGCCAGCGCCGGTGTCGTTCCCGTTGCCGCACCCTTCGCCGCCGTTGCGCAGGTGGAGGAATACGATCCTCATCCCCAATACACCTACGGATATGACGTCAAGGACGCGCTCTCCGGCGATTCGAAGACCCAGGTGGAGACCCGTGATGGTGATTTGGTCCAGGGCCAGTACTCGCTGAACGACGCCGATGGCTACCGTCGCATTGTGGACTACACGGCCGATTCCATCAATGGCTTCAATGCTGTGGTCCGCCGCGAACCATTGGTCGCGGCTGTGGCCGCTGCTCCCGTCGTGGCTGCCCCAGCTCCAGTTGTGCGTGCCGCTCCCGTCGTTGCTGCCCCAGCACCAGTTGTTCACGCCGCTCCCTTCGCGGCTGCTGCTCCCTTTGCCTATGCAGCTGGCCCGGCACCAATTGTAAAGGCCGCCGCTCCTCTGGTCGCCGCTGGTCCAGCCTTCGTCAAGACGCAGTTCGCTTCGCCTCTTATCTCGTACGCCTATTAGATGACCAAATAGGTGCTGCCCGACCTGATAATTGCCGTTAGTTGTTATTGAATAAAGAATGTGATGTCATAGAACAAGTTCGTTGTTTGATTTTTAAATCTTTCGCATAGATATTTGGATTTTCGCAGCAGCCTCAAGCTACTTTTTTTGGAAATAGTTCGGAATATTGGAATAGAATATGTGTACGTTAAACCAACCCATATTGCTATATCATTTCTTAAGTTTTTGGTTTAGTCGTCTTACCAATTGAATATACTATAGAAGAGCTGTAAGCCACTAAATCTACAGTACGAGTTGCATATGTTACTGTTAGGCTCAAAGTAATCACAAAAATTCAAAAAATTTCCAAAAAAGAAATTAAAAAACATTACATGCACAAACTTATTTAACTTTCCCTCTCCAGTGGATACAAATTTCAAGGTCGTGTCCGGCACTGAACCACTTTAAAGAGCCATTAAGACCAGAGGAAAGAACTAGCCAAAAGCAAAAGCTACAAAAAAAGCCGTCAAAAGCAAAACGAAATCGCGTAAATGTAAACATTCATATGATTCACGGCTGCCGCTACGTGAGATGCCCAAAAATTCACTTAAAGTTGGCCGAGAATGCGGCATGCGAACAAATCGAACAAATCGCAAGTCAAAATTATGCTCAGACTGGCAAATGATGTGGCTTTTGTGTTGATCAACGGCTTTTAGTTAGTGTATCATTAGTAATGATTTTTTTTTAAAATAACTGCGAACTCATTATATTCAATCGAATAATGAACGGTTCAAAGAAAGGATGAAAATATGAAAATATAACATTAAATTTTATCGATTTCAAAATTATGCATTATACATTTTTGAAAGGTTTTTCTGATATTTATTTAAACATCTTTAGAACATAATATATTTAAAATCCAATGCAATCGCGAATGGAATTAGCTGAAAATTACTAGAAAACTTTAAATGGATTAGATACGAAGATAAAGATACATTTATTATTAATAATAAAAAATACAGAATAAATATCGAAAAATTATATGGATTACATATACATATGTAAAATTCTTAAATTTTTGTGTTTTTCCATATATAAAATGCGGATAAATAAGACTTACAAAAGTGTTAAAATGTATACTTTATATATATATTTTTTTATATTTTATGTAAAACTAAACAAATTTGAAGTTTTTTAAATAATGTTTAAAAAGATAAATTTCTAGTTAGTTTGTCCAAAAGTTCGGGTATATATTTTTTTTAATTTAAAACCTTTTTAAAATGTATAAATAAAATATATGTAAAATTAATTTAAAATACTTGAACTTTTTCAAAGTATTTTAGATTTAATGTGGAATAAATTAGTTGAATTTTCGTTTGGCAGTGCAAACACGCTTTAGATTTGTGCGCAGTGTTGGTTTTTACGCACACTTTTGTAATCGCCTTGTGGTTTTATGGGCCAGGTACACGGACAGTAGGCCGAGCAGCCAGAGCCAGCTCGGTTGATTCAACGGTTTGCTGGTGTAATTGCAATCGGTCTGGCACGTAGTCCGTTGTCTTCTTTTAGCCACTGTTGCTGCTACTGCTGAATGTACTTGTACTTTGGGCCAGGCATGGGAACGGGCGCAAGACACGAACATGTCATCCGGACAGCTATACAACTCCAAGCGCTGCACACGAGGTAATTAACCATAAAACCTGACTTTGACCTTAACACTCGAAGTCGCTGGTCACTTGTCGCCAGCAGCAATTGGAGGACAAAGAGGCGGCGGCGGTGGCCAACGGCCTATGCCTTGACATTTTTGGGCGTGTTGTGGATGTGCGTTGAACAGATGTTAAGGTAAAAGTCCAAGAGCTGCGACCTGTCCATATCTGTGCGTCGCTATCTGAACGATAAGACAATGCCTGCGATTTAAGACAATAAAGCCACGTAAATCATTCTCCAGCACATTCGTAACATTGGGCGTTGCACTTGGCGAAAGGCCCAAAACAAACCAAATCTCTGACCTTAACTTGTTTGCGCGGCCCAATGTATTGAATTTTGAGTAAGGCAATTGCATGTGCATTACATATGGACACATGTACATCCTCTGATATATTCAATACGTCAGCATCGATTTGCGGTGATTGGTGTAAACGTAAACGGCACCAGGCAGATGGTAAATTTGGGGCTGTTCCATTCCCCATAATGAGTTGGAAGCGTGCAATCTGCGTCAGAGTGCTGTCGGAAATTGATTTAAAGTATATATTGTGTGCCAGTCGTATCAAGGTGCTGCCTCTGTGAGATCTTTCAGTTGCCATAATTGAGATGTAAATTGGTGTTGTGTACGTGATTTTGATTTTGTAACCTTTTTGGGGATTATTCGAACACATATGAGGATGAGGCTCTATTGCATAAGTTGTTTGAATTCATCCTGTTGAAATACTTCTTCTTGTGAAGGGTATCTAAAATATGAGTGCATTTGTCCTTGAGATCTCAGCGTTGTCTGACACTATGGCCAGCCTCCATAATTAGCTGTAGCGGTCTGTGCTACAATATGTAATTATGTTTTTAGATCATTAATGTTTATGTATGTATGTTTCTTCACTAAGATATATGCAGCTATTTTCCAAGAAAACCATCTCGAACTGTTTTAAGAGCAATCAAAAATATTTATTAAACATTTGTTGCTTTTTTTATAATGGAAAGTCCTGTTGAAGCTGCAAAGCTTTCGTCGGGCTTCTAGAGGGATTGGCTTTTTTTGAACATAATTGGAGTATTATTTTCCATCCTTTCAAATCCCTTCTTTCACGCTACTCCTATCAACTTACTCCCATCAACTTCTTATTAACGTATTCAAAATCTTCATTTGTATATGCTTAGAAATATTCAACAATTTATTCAATTCAAGGACTTTAAAATGACTTTTAAGTATATGAAATGTCTGAGGGGGATCCACTTAGTGGTGCTGGTGGTAGGCAACGTGCTGCGGTGCGGTAGCGACTGCAATAGGAGCAGGAGCAGCGACGGTCTTGACCACGGTCTTCACGTGATCGATGGGCACACGGTTGACCACAGCGTTGAAGCCATTCTCTGGATCCGAGGTGTACTGGACGGTGCGCTTGTAGCCATCAGCATCGATCAGGGAGTACTCGCCACGGACGACATCACCATCGCGCTCCTCCACCTGGCTCTTGGAGTCACCGGAGAGGGCATCCTGCACATCGTAGGCGAACTTGTACTGAGGATGGGGATCGTATTCCTCGTCGTGCTTGGCCAGCACAGGCTGTGCATGGGCCACAGCTACTGGGGCATGGGCATAGGTGACAGCTGGAGCGGGCGCCGCATGATACACCTGCTGGACGGGCAGTACGCCGGCGCTGACGGCGGCAACGAGCGCAAGGATGGCAAAGAACTGCAAGGATATGGATATACAAATCAAGGACCCGGCGAATTACGCAATGAAAGACGAGGCTTACCTGAAAGGCCATGGCGAGTGAGCTTGAGGGCTTGGCGAATATCGGAACAGTGATACGAAAGCAGAGAAGCTGTGGAATGATTTGCAGACTGCCCACCACTTGGTTTTATACTCCAAATGTAACTCGCGAATTCGAAATGAATTTTATATATTATTATTGTTTTTTTTCGCTTTTGCACAACATATTTTTGTCACTCGTATTTATTTTTGTTGCGAGCGAGGTAATTACGCACCGAAATTCATATAGTATTTATTTATGCAACAACTGCGACATGTAAATGTGCGCAGATTAGTGTCATAGGTAAATGCTGTCCAATACACAACCACACGAACAGACAAACACACACAGCCACACCCTCTCCAATTGCTGCTGTTTGACCGCGGGCAATTCGTGTCTTTGGCGCTTTCACAATTTCACCTTGAGGCCGATATCGAATTAAATGCATATACATAAAAGTTTTATTAACACTTTTTTGCCAACTGGGTGGCAAATGGTAGTTTTTTATTATTTAAACTGGCGCTATTGTAATCATCAAATTCATTGCATTGTTGTTTTAGTTGTAGGGAGCTTTTAAAATGCAGTCCTTAAATTCCATTTCTTAATTAAAGAAACTCTCAGAAGTGGAGTTTGCAATCAAGAACATTTAAGAGTTTTTAGGTTTTCTAAAATTTGTAGGAAACTACACTTCCAAGAAAATCTTACAATGAAACCCAACTAGAATTTCTAGTCCCATTATGTTCAAGAAAAACAACAACATTTTTAAAAGAACAATCACATTTAGTTTGATAATCATAATCATAAGCAGGAGAACAATTTAGGTCAGGTCAAATTACAAGTTCCTAACGGCATAGGCTGGCGCGGTGTATCTCAGTGGAGCAGCAATGGCAGCGGTTCTTACAACAGGAGCTGCAACCGCGAGGGGAGCAGAGCGGATGAGCGGCGCGGATACAGCAACTGGCGCAGAGCGGACGAGGGGTGCGGGGACGGCAACAGGAGCAGAGCGGACGAGCGGCGCGGATACAGCAACTGGAGCAGCATTAACCACGGGCTCAGCAACGGCAACGAGGGGCTCACGGCGCACAACCGCATTGAAGCCATTGATGGAATCGGCGGTGTAGGTGACGGTGCGCCTGAAGCCATCGGCATCGATCAGGGAGTACTCGCCGCGGACCACATCGCCATCACGCTCCTCCACATGACCCTTGGAGTCGCCGGAGAGGGTGTCCTGCACATCGTAGCTGTACGAGTACTGGGGATGCGGATCAACCTCCTCCAGTTCAACGGTCTTGGCCAGAACGGGTGCGGGTGCAACGGCAACGGGTGCCACAGTTCTCAGCACGGCCGCCTGGGCCACGGCGAGCATAGCGAGTGCGAATGCGATCTGAGGAATGTTGAAGAAGAGATTAGTATCCTTGCGTAATCCATGTGCCTGCAAGCCGCTGCTTGTACCTTGTAAGCCATTTCGTTGGGACTTGTTTGGAGGATAACTCGGTGCTGTCTGAAGCAGAAGCTGAACACTGAATGTCTGACCAAGCTGCGGCCATAAGGTTATATAGTCAACTCGCTGACATTGATGACACCTAATTGGAATTCATTTTTGGCGCTTCGCAGCCCCGCGCTGATATTGAAAGTGCACTTGCGGGTGGACGCTGCCAAAAGCTAATCACGTATAATTGTCACGTACGTTCTTCAGTTCTCCAGCTCGGCCAGTCGTATAAATGGGAATCTTTAATTAAAAACCCATAGTGCATATTACTTATACATATATGCTCTGGCTCCTTAACTATGCCTCTTACAGTTTACAGTTATTGCACAAAGAAAAATCCATTTCAAATTGATGGTGTGCGAATAATCAAAAACAATTTTTGATTTAAAAAAATATGCGAATTGACTTACAATTGAGTATTGTATTAAATATATTTTTAAATATATTAGTAACTCGCTGACAATTTGGGCTGTCTATTAACAAATAACAGAGTCTAATCTATTTTATTCATATTTTAATTAATTTAAATGTGTTTCTCAGAAGATAGAGTGGAAAAATTAATTAAGAATTCTTATTATATAATATATCGATTTTATTTAATTTTATAATATTACGTTAACATATGGATATCTCGTTTTTTAGATTAAGAGATAGATACTACATTAATTACAAAATTTGTTTGGTGTGGATGTGATAAGTAGTTAGGTAAGGTTTGGGTAGGGAAAAGGGGAGGAGGTTGTGTCTCTTGATCTCAAGGAAGGTCAAGAGGGTGCTTCCCTTTGAGTCGTTTAATTGTTGTGCTGTTATCAAGCAGGTTGACTGCCAGGTTGTTTGGATGGAATTGCAGTCTGACACACTTTTCTTCAATGCTGATTGTAAAGAAACTGATAAGTTAATTAGCTGAGTCATAAAATAATTATTCCTATTATAAAGTAACGCTGAGTTCGTGAACAACTCAGCAGTTCATCAAACTTGTATTTTGGAATCAGTAATAAATGGACTGTGCAATTTCATAATCGAATTGTCTACTTAAACAGCTCAATTTATTATATACGTTTTTGAATAAAAATGGTTAATTTATCTACTAATAAATTGCTGTATGTCAGCAAAGGTTTTAATTTTCAAATATTAAATTATTAAAATTATGATTATCTAATAGATATCAAAAATCAAATCTATTTAATTGCCCTTTGAATACTTAACGGATTTAACACAGAGTATAAACTGTATCGCATAATTATATAGATTGGGCCGACTATTTAGATACTCGATAATATTCACAGCAAACATTACAATAGATAGCTACGAAAATCGTTAAATATTTCGAGAGTCGAAAAAATTAAAAGAAAAGTTAAAAGAGTCCTTTAGCTGTAGCACAACTTATTCTGGTCGTACTATGTGCTGCAATGTGGAATAAAAACATGTTAGCCCATTCAAAAAAATGTTCATTGTAATTAAATCGAAATAATTGTTTTAAATATTTTAATTATAACAATTAGCCATGCATTGCGCATGTGTCAACATTTTTGTGATGGATTAACTATTTCATCTTTGTGGAGCTTCATTCAAAAAACCAGTTTTCGTCCACCCCCAGTAAATAAAATTTATTTAGATGACAACACACAAAACATTAAATACGTATGACTCGTAGCTATCTATGTATGTGTTTGGTGCACAATGTACTCACACTCGCTTTTAATGTTACATTTTCCACACATATTTAGCATAAATGAATTGCACTAATTACGCGACTTCGGCCACGAAGAGGCAGACCCCGATTCGGCAGGTGGATCGCTCTATATAAGCTTACAGCAAGCAGCAGCAGCAATCACAGTTCAAATTGCTCTCAGCCCTCAAGAGCAGCTCCACATAACTCAGACACAATGGCATTCAGGGTATGTCTGAAAGACATTTTTTTGCAGCGTATTGTGGAATACAAATTTGGGAATTTCTTTATCTAGTACATCGCACTCTTCGCTCTGATCGCCGCCGCCAGCGCCGGTCTCCTGCCCGCCGCACAGGTCTACCATGCTGCGCCCGCTGTGGCCCACTACGCCGCACCCGCCACCGTTGTCAAGACAATTGCGCCCGTGGCCCAGCATGTGATCACCAAGGCGGCCGAGGAATACGATCCCCATCCTCAGTACAAGTACGCCTACGACGTGCAGGATGCCCTCTCTGGTGACTCCAAGAGCCAGGTGGAGGAGCGCGATGGTGATGTCGTCCGTGGCGAGTACTCCCTGATCGATGCTGATGGCTACAAGCGCACCGTCCAGTACACCGCCGATCCCATCAACGGCTTCAACGCTGTGGTCAACCGTGAACCCCTCGTCAAGGCCGTTGCCGTTGCTCCCGTTGTGAAGACCGTTGCCGCCGCCCCCGTTGCCCACTATGCTGCCCCCACTTTGGCTCACTATGCAGCCCCAGCTGGCCACTATGCCACATATGCCGCGCCAGCTGTTGCTTACCATCATTAATATTGTTGTTACTCTAGCTGATTTGTTATAGTTAAATATGGAAGAGTAAATGTTAAAATTAATTTCAAGAAACAAGACTTTTAATTTAAAGCAGGATATGCCTTTTTGGAACCGCGTTCCAAGTAACATTAGCCGATTATGCCCACACGCCCAACTGAATTGCTGTTGGCCGCAGCTGTTGCCAATTAAATATGGTGCGACATTGAAATTCCAAAGTCAAGTAAGGTTTTCAATTATGGCTCCAATTGTTACACTCCCCAAGCAATCGTCTTGAAAATGAACTAATACCATCAACAAGCAGAGATCATTACCTTTAGCAGTGCCTGTAGCTCTTTGATTTCAATCTTTACCTTAGTAAACATATCAAATCGATGTATCTTTTTTATTGGCTGTGTTAAAACTGTTTAGGCTGCATGCAGCGTCAAACATGATTCCGGTTGAGATTTTGCTATTAGAGTCAATTGAGATTTGACGGCTTTTTGTCGGCTTCGGCATTTCCCATTCCGTTCGAAACATGACTCGCTCTATATTACAGGAACTGGTTTGCCACTGTCCAGACGCACGTCAGACTCGGCCAAAGAGTTAAAAAGTTCTATTACTGATGTTATACCCTGAACTCATTGAAAATGGGCAACATGGTATAATGGTTTTGTGAGAAAGTATGTAACAGGCAGAAATAGATGCTTCCTTCGATTATATATATTCTTGATCAGTGTACTGAGATGAGATCTAGCCATGTCCGTCTGCCTAACCGATCTGGGAAACTATAAGAGCTGGAGACTTCAAAGTTCAATATATATATTTTTGTATACCATATGTTTAAATATCCGTTACCGCTTTCATAATATCGATAAATATAAATTTTGAGATACGGATTTTTCAGCATAACTCGACACCAACCTTGGGATATAGGTTCTCGTATAGTATATATAGATGAAGAATATTTCAATTTTATATAATTCTGGCCATTCTTTCCATGTTGTATAACGGATTTGAACTTATAATTAAACTGTTTGAGAAAATTGAAAAATCCAAAAATATAAAAGTTAAGTGAATTTAATTGAAACCGAAAGTCTGTTAGAACGGTAAGCTCAAACATTTTTTATTGTAAGTCGGCAATGAAATGCGTATAAAAATGCTGTACGCAGTAGTTAGTCACAATAAGTTAATCCTATTAGATGTACATGTTTTGAGAATGTGATTTATTTAAAAATGATATAGTTTAAATAAGTTCCGAAATTACGTATTATCTGAATCTCAAACAAAGTCATTTTCGTGTCCTAGCTGCAAATGTCACTGATATCTGAGATATCATATCAAAATATTACAAAAATAGTTGATATCGTTGCTTAGTTTTCTACATTCCTCTGTACGAATATCCCAAAATTAAAATGATTGAAACTTCGATAAAAGTCGGGCACTCTAGCGAAATCCTACTTATTTTTGAGATACCGTTTAGTCCACCTAAGAGATTTAATTGCTTCCAAAACTAAGCAGACGGTTAGGAAGAGTACAACCAAATGTTAGGTAAAGGTAAACGAATTATTGTAATTTATTTAAACTTGGCAAGTTTCAGTCAACACATATAACAAAATGGCATTTAGTAATGATGAGCCACATGGACGGCTGGGGCAGCATAAGTGGAGTAAGCCGGGGCGACGGTCTTCACAACAGTTGGAGCGGCATATGTGGCATAGTGTGCAGCGGGCGCGGCAGAGTAGTGGGCAACTGGAGCCGCTGTCTTCACCACAGCTGGAGCAGCATAGTGAGCCACAGCGGGAGCAGCATAGTGGGCAACGGGGGCGGCGGCAACGGCCTTGAAGAGGGGTTCACGGTTGACCACAGCGTTGAAGCCGTTGATGGGATCGGCGGTGTACTGGACGGTGCGCTTGTAGCCATCGGCATCGATCAGGGAGTACTCGCCACGGACGACATCACCATCGCGCTCCTCCACCTGGCTCTTGGAGTCACCAGAGAGGGCATCCTGCACATCGTAGGCGTACTTGTACTGAGGATGGGGATCGTATTCCTCGGCCGCCTTGGTGATCACATGCTGGGCCACGGGCGCAATTGTCTTGACAACGGTGGCGGGTGCGGCGTAGTGGGCCACAGCGGGCGCAGCATGGTAGACCTGTGCGGCGGGCAGGAGACCGGCGCTGGCGGCGGCGATCAGAGCGAAGAGTGCGATGAACTAGAGAGGAGGGGGTATTACATAAGCTGATGCAGTACGTCAAAGGGTACTCCAGATACGCATACCTTGAATGCCATTTTGAAGAGCTTGGTGTGTGACTGAAAGCGTGTGCTATCGAATGAAGCGAAGTCTGCAGTATGATTAGAAATTGAGCAGTCTGCGGTTTTTATAGAGCAAACGGCATTTGGAGCTCGGCAAGTGCATGCCCGAGGTTGTGCGTTTGCTGCGGCTGCTCATTATTATTAAGCAAATTACACACAACAAATAGGAGCGAAAGGCCGAGCCGGGCCAGGCCAAGTATTGAGTGCAGGGCGAACGCAATACGTTTGGGCATTTGTGTGAAGAATGTGGAGCAAATTGGGTCTTGCTTGTCTGGCAATTGGACATACCATTGCTCATGCTCATGGACGCATGTACCGTCGAGGTTCCGGACTCCGATCTACCCAACCATCAAGTACGCAGCCAAAATCTGCCCGCGGCTACTTGACATTCAATTTGTGTGCGCGACATTACAATTGCAAAAAAACTGCCATTGTTGCTACCGGATACTTTTGGCATGCCAAACCGGTTAACTCAAATGCGAAAATAAAAACATATGGAGCTAGCTATACAGAGAGCTAAACTATATAAATTACACATCGCATACATACATAAGTGTATGCTCTGATTGTTGACTGTTAATGCGGCTAATCATGTTTAAGGCCTTGTAGGGAAAGAACTTGATGAAATTCGGATCTTTTATACAATTGCCCAATTGATACCTAAGTAATTGATAGTCCATTTAATCCGTGGAAGCATTTTCATTGAGTTATATCTTTAACTAAAGTTGAGAATGATCAAAGCAGCTGTCTAAATTGTCGTCTTAATCTAACCTAACGTTACCATTGTAATTATATAAATTTTTAAAATCCATTTAAGTTGCTTTATTTTTACACTTTTACTTAACTATATATACTAAAAATATACTACATATATCTAAAAACGTTGATTTCTGAAACTGATTTAGATTTGATTTCATTTGCTTGCTTCTGTGAACGTTCTCTTCTTCTCAACATTAGTTATAATAATTTTAATAATTATTTATTTATTGCATGAAAAGGAGTTAAAAATATGGAAATAGAAATATAGCTGATAATGTGAATATTGCAGCGAAAAACTACGTATTAGGCAAGCAAACTATAATTAATAGGAGGATTTCCGATTTTTCATACTTTCTTTTTTATACCCTGAACCCATTGAAAATGCCATGTCCGTCTGTCTGACCGTCTGTCCGTCCGTCCGTCTGTCCGTCCGTCCGTATGTATAAACGCAAGGATCTCAGAACCTATAAGAGCTAGAGACTTGAAAGTTTAGCTGTAGGTCCTCCTAGTCCCCGCGCAGATCGAGCTTGTTTCCGATATTCGATAACTTGCCTCGTTTCCAAGTAATCGATAAAAGTCGATATCGAAATCCTGTTTTTTGGGAAATTTTGGTAAATAATATGAGCTAGAGTCACCAAAATTGACATGTAGCTTCTAGAGTAGTATATATATATCAAGTATCTTTCATTTTGTACCTATCGCCTGTTGGAAGGAGAGGGTTCAGGGTATTCCCTAGTCGGGGGCTCCCGACTAGAACCTCTTACTTGTTTTTTTTGTGCTTTTGTGCCTTTGTTTACTTTTACACCAATTATAAATCAGCTGTGCTGTAAGCTGCCATCTGTTCAAAAATATCTATATTAAATCTTAATCAGTTTCAGGAATTCCACTTATAAATTAACTTAAAAATATTTTTTTTTAAATATATTTTTTTAACATAATTATTATTTTTATTTAAAAAAAATAATAACAAAATATAAATATTTTATTTTAAATAAATATTTTTTTAAATTAAAATTTGCCCGCTTGTCTGCAATAATTAAAATATATTGAAAACAATAGTTATTCAGTTTTTGCCATTCTTTAAAATGTATTATCCAATATATGTACATGCTAACTATAGTGCTCTTTTAAAGAAAGAAAGAAGTACAAAGTACAAAATGTTTCATTCTAGTTTAGTGTTCTTTAATTTGGTTACAGGGATCTTTAGGCCGAGCACTGCTAACTGCTAGCTTCTACTTTCTGAAATCGCTATTGAAGTTCAAAGACCTCCTCTTCTTCAGCTTAGTTTGGCATTTTATCGCCTATATCATATCAGATCTCAAATATATGATATCCTTCGATAATAAATAACCTTTTCCACACAATTTAGATGCATTAATAAATTTATTAAAATATTTACAATAGAACTATTTAACAGAGCCTATGGATCTAGATATGCTTAGCAATGGAAACGTGAAATGGAAGATGCAATAATTCTTTCGTCGGCGCAAGTCGCAGCTCTAGTGATGATAATAGTCGTGGGCATCATGAGTAGCTGGAGCAGTCTCGTAGGTGGCATAGTGCTCCTGGTGCTGGTGGTGCTGGGGCTCGTGCTCGTGGTGAACATTGTATGTGGGCTGTGCGTGAGCGGCATAGGTGGGCGCGGCATAGGTGGGCGCAGCATAGGCGGGAGCGGCATGGTGATACTGGACGGGTGCAGCTGGAGCAGCTGCCACCAGTTTGTGGTGTGTGTGCGACAGGGGCTCGCGATGGACGACTGCATTAAATCCATTAACGGAATCGGCGGTGTACTTCACGGTGCGACGGAAGCCATCGGCATCGTCCAGGGAGTACTCGCCCTGCACCACATCACCGTCACGGGACTCCACCTGGCTCTTGGAGTCGCCAGAGACAGCATCCTGCACATCATAGGCAAAGTTGTATTTGGGATGGGGATCATCGGGATAGACCTCATGGGCGTGGGCGTGGGCGTGAATGTCTTGAGGCTTCTGGTAGATCACGTGCTGCTGCTGCGGCACCGCAGCGTGATAAAGCTGTGGCTGCTCGTGGTGTTCCACAGGAATAAGACCAGCCGATACGGCCGCGATCAGGGAGACCAGTGCTACGAACTGCAAAACGGAGATGATGATTAAAATGTTTCTTACACCTGGGATGATTGGACTCACCTTGAAAGCCATTTTGCTTGGATTATAAGGTTTTAAGATTAAGACTGAGCTGTGAACGCTGTGTACTCCTTTGCCGAAGTCCGTGCTGTGAATAATAATGGAAGACCAATTGCATTTGTATTTATAGACGAAATTTGATGGTGGCCACCAGGGCCAGAGCTTCAATCTCCATTGTTTCTGGCCTTTCTTTCACTTTTTCGTAAGTTTTACACAAATAATTTGAATTTTAATTCATTTGCATGTCTCTCTTTGTATGGATTTTTTTCATCAGTTACCAAACGGGTTGCCGCTCGATCCATTGCCGATTTGCACCCACGAGTCACACCCATTTGGCCAACTCGCTCTCGGACCGTTGCCATTGTTATGAATGGAAGACGGACGGCGGTACGAAATAGCCGGCAAACAAAAACACACGCAGCTAACAAAAGACTTAGGCGAGCAACTTGGCTTCGATAGTAACCGGGATCGGGGTCGGGTTGCGGCCGAGTCGAGTCATGTAAGTAACCCAATAAAGACAACTTGATCGATGCCAGCATTGCACTTGACACACACACGCACATACACACAGACACACACACACACACACACACACTGCCTACTCACTAGCTGTCCAGCTGGCGTACTGCAATGACCCAAAAAGCCACAAAAATATTGAAAAAAAGTGGCTACTCACCAATACTACGGGCATCGGGCACCGGGCCCATGTCCAAGACTCTCGTCTTGTTGTCAGACATGTAATATCTGAGCTTTCAGGTTGAAGCTTTTTTTTCTCTATATATTTTGTTACTATCGATTTGTGGCATAAGTGCTCAATCATGCCACAACAAGCCCACACAAACACACACACACACACATGCATGCATAAAGCGTAAAGTGACTTAACTCTTTGCAAAATGATGTAATGCTAAATAGGTCGCTATTCAAATCGAAAGAATTTCATTAAAGGTCATTTCTTAGATAGAAATGATAGAGATTTTAGAAATATTCCACAAATCCATGGAGGAATAAATTTTGCGAAATGTGTGAAGCAGGATTCAAATTAATTTGTACAAAGATATTTGAAAATGAGGAAGAACTGATCGGATGGTGGAAAAGTTGCATACATCCATTTTCCACGATTTTTTTACACTTTTGGGTGGAATTCCCCAAAATCCTTTCACAACATGAGGTTTCTGCAGTAAAAATTCAGTTTGCTATTCTGTTTGTGTATTGAGATATAACTCAAGTTCAAGTAAAGTTTTTGAGTTCTTGCAAGAATTCATTGACCTCACAGACTTTCAATTTCAATTTCAATTCACTTAATTTAAGTGATCGCCGCCCTGTTTACAGATAATCAAAATATAATTAAATTAAAAATCAGATTTAAGTGCGAGAAAGGTTCAATCCCATTACTCAACCATTATTCAAACGTCAATAAAAAAACGGTAATAGAACTTTTGATCTCTTTGGCCGGGTGTGACGTGCGTCTGGCCAGTGGCAAACCAGTTCCAGTAAAATAGAGCGAGTCATGTTTGGAACGGAATGGGAAATGCCGAAGCCGGCAACAATTTGCTAAATATAAATGAACCTTAAAACACCAACCGGAATCACGATCGAAGAATGGTATATATCTATATATATGTTTCAGATGAATTCCCCTTGTGGCTACTTAAATCACGGAGATAGCCACAGTCACGGCTATAAGTATTGATACATTGTTTGTTGATGGGATTACTTAATTTTCATGGTGATTGTTGGCTAGTGTAACAAATGGGGCCGTAATTGAAAACCTTACCTGACTTTGGAATTTCAATGTCGAACCAAATTTAATTGGCAACACTTTTTGCCGAAAGCTAACCACATGTGAGTGTGGGTGTAATCGGTTAATGCTATTTTGAAATCAAATGCGATAAGTCCGGAATGGTATATCCTGTAAATACTTATAGCTGGCATCTTTGCTTGCTTACCGATCAATGGAAACAGAAAGAGTTAATTATATTTCATGTATGCATTGATTTTATTGTCGAGGTCAATAAATAAATGTACTGTAATATGAACAACGATTCTATATACGAATAAAAACAAGAATTAAACATTTTAGTGATGGTAGGCGACGGCTGGTGCGGAGTAGGTGGCGTAGTGCGCAGCTGGAGCGGCATAGTGGGCAGCGGGGGCAGCATAGTGGGCCACCTGAGCTGGGGCAGCATAGTGGGCCACCTGAGCTGGGGCTGAATAGTGGGCCACTTGAGCTGGGGCAGCATAGGTGGAGTAAGCAGGAGCAACAGTCTTGACAACAGCTGGGGCGGCATAGTGAGCCACTGGAGCTGGAGCAGCATAGTGGGCAACTGGAGCGACCGTCTTGACAACAGCGGGGGCGGCATAGTGGGCGACAGCGGGAGCGGCATAGTGGGCGACAGGGGCAGCGGCAATGGTCTTGACCAGAGGTTCACGGTTGACCACAGCGTTGAAGCCGTTGACGGGATCGGCGGTGTACTGGACGGTGCGCTTGTAGCCGTCGGCATCCACCAGCGAGTACTCGCCACGGACGACATCACCATCGCGCTCCTCCACCTGACCCTTGGAGTCACCGGTCAGCTTGTCATCGACTCCGTACGAGAAACGGTACTGGGGATGGGGATCGTAGGTCTCGTCGGACTTGACCACCACCTTCTGGGCCACAGCCACGGGCGCACCGTAAGTGGCAACTGGACCAGCTGCGTGATAGGCCTCGGGCACATAGCCAGCGCTGGCCACGGCGACGAAGGCGAGTGCGAAAACAAACTGGAAAGCGGCGAGATAATCCATTAGCACACATAAGTGTATCCATTGTCCATAGTGTTACTCACCTTGAATGCCATATTGTTGCTTTTGGGATTTGGCTGAGTTCTTTACAGAAGCAAGAGCAGATGTCGAATGATACTGTTTCTGGGCTGATCAAGCTATTTATAGGCAGTCGCGAAGTTTTCACTGATAGCCGATTTGATTATATCTGCATAGCGGTAACCGTAAGGTGCTTAACTGTGGCCTTCTGCGTATCATGTTCGAAATTAGCGCAGTCACCACGGCAGGCAGCGGTAATCGAAGAGATTGTCAAGCTGCACAGGGCACAGAGCTGCGCTGAGTGGGGCAGGGGCAGGGGTTGCGGCAGCCGCAGCAAGTGCTGTTGCACAGGGTACATTATTTAGAAAGGATTTGGGATTTCCTTTACAACCACGAAAACGTCTCAAAAGTAACCCACGTACGGGCAAAATGCTTAATTCGATCAAATTACAGCTGCTTATTCAAAAGATTACAAAGTTGGAATTGAAATAATATCAGAAGAGAACGGTGGGCGTAAGGATGTGCAGTAGGTAAGGTACCTATATTTAGGTTTCCAGTAGATGTGCCCTTGAACTGTGTGTGTACATTCTAAAAACGGACTGCTTAATAATCCCATGCGTCCATCTGATGCGTTGACAACTTATTATTACTTTGCTTACACTAAACAAAATTACAACCTTTTTTTTCCTACAGCCAGTTTTACTTGTCGTGTGTTGAACTTAAAGTTGAAATTAACGTTATTAAAAGGGAGCTTTTAATATAAAAAGATTCTCCAATTAATACACATTTAACAGATTATTTCAGCCAAATGATTTACGTGAAAGCCTTTTTTTGATATTTTATAATTATATATATATATATATATATATACCATTTTTTTTATATATATATATATAATTTACAATATAGATATATACCAAAAATATATATATTTTAATTTGTTTTAATAATTTTTTAATTTTATGTAATGTATCTTAATGTTATTTGTTTTTGTTTTTGTGTTAGTGCCCTAAAGACGGTTGCCGAAGTGCAGCCGAAGTATATTGGTTATTTTCAAACAAAATTGCGTTTTCATTTTGTCTTGAATAAAAAAAGCCCCGGACCTCGAAGCAGCCAAACAAATAATTATGTTAATAAATGTATATGCTTTCTACCTTTTGTTTTTATTCAAATGATAGTTATTAGTTTTGTGCATATGTGCATATTCAAATATATATTCTTGGAATATATTTACCACGTATTTGCTATTAAAACTTTTTGTCAAATTTTCTGTTCAGGATTACATTCCTATTAATAAATATAAATTTCATTTATTTCTTTCAGCTGGATTTCTAATTCTAATAAGCAGATCATATTTTCTGATAAGGCGTAGCTCCTATAGGTTCGTACGATTCCAACTTCCAATTCGAGCATCAAATAAATTTTCCAGCATATAGAGTCGTTTATTAAAGCTTTATGCTTAATTCAAGCTGTCCACATTTTTTATTTATGTTTAATGGTTAATATATAATATTGCCTTGCCACATATATTTCTTATGTTAAGCTTTTCGTAATCTGCATATCAGCTCGGCTGCTCGTGCTGTTCATATGCGCCGAGAATCTTTCTCTTTTTGGTTATGGTTCTTGCAGATCAAAACATGATTATTTGCACACCCACAGTACTTACTCTCAAACAGGAAGTATCAGCAATCGCCAGCCAACAATCAACGTCCAAAACATTAAAATTTTGCTGTCACCATGGAAATAAAACGCTCACTCGCAGCAGCGCAGCCGCGTCGCCGTTTTGCTATATAAGTTGAGGCTTACGCCCAGAAATGTATCATTCGACGATCAAGTTCACTTCTGTAAAGAACTCAGCCAAATCCCAAAAGCAACAATATGGCATTCAAGGTGAGTACCACTATGGACAATGGATACACTTATGTGTGCTAATGGATTATCTCGCCGCTTTCCAGTTTGTTTTCGCACTCGCCTTCGTCGCCGTGGCCAGCGCTGGCTATGTGCCCGAGGCCTATCACGCAGCTGGTCCAGTTGCCACTTACGGTGCGCCCGTGGCTGTGGCCCAGAAGGTGGTGGTCAAGTCCGACGAGACCTACGATCCCCATCCCCAGTACCGTTTCTCGTACGGAGTCGATGACAAGCTGACCGGTGACTCCAAGGGTCAGGTGGAGGAGCGCGATGGTGATGTCGTCCGTGGCGAGTACTCGCTGGTGGATGCCGATGGCTACAAGCGCACCGTCCAGTACACCGCCGATCCCGTCAACGGCTTCAACGCTGTGGTCAACCGTGAACCGCTGGTCAAGACCGTCGCTGTTGCTCCCGTTGTGAAGACTATTGCTGCCGCCCCAGTCGCCCACTATGCCGCGCCCGCTCACTATGCTGCCCCAGCTGTGGTCAAGACGGTCGCCCCCGCTTACTCCACCTATGCTGCTCCAGCTCAGGTGGCTCACTATGCCGCTCCATCTGTCCAGTATGCCGCCCCAGCTGTTGTCAAGACTGTTGCTCCTGCTTACTCCACCTATGCTGCCCCAGCTCAAGTGGCCCACTATGCAGCCCCAGCTCAGGTGGCCCACTATGCCGCCCCAGCTCAGGTGGCCCACTATGCCGCCCCAGCTCAGGTGGCCCACTATGCTGCCCCCGCTGCCCACTATACCGCTCCAGCTGCGCACTACGCCACCTACTCCGCACCAGCCGTCGCCTACCATCACTGAAATGTTTAATTCTTTATAATCGTATATAGAATCGTTGCTCATATTGCTGTACATTTATTTATTGACATCCACAATAAAATAATGCATACATGTATATTAGAATATCTTGGTTTTTAATTTGGATTTAGAAGGAATCAGAAATTCTGGTATATATGTGGTAAAAAATCAGAACATCAGAAGCTGGTTTAATATTTGAATTAGCTGTTAATATTGGATCTGGGCTATAGTTATACCCAACTTATAGTTACATTGACTTCTATAGTCTTTGTTTAGGACAAAACAACATTAGCTTGGTTGTATTTAGGTATTTCAAGGACCTATGCATACTTGTAGGCAAGAAAAGAATAATTTATATATATATATATATAGATAAAAATTTTATTTTAATGATCAATTAAATGAAATTTTTAACAATTCAGTGACAATCTCTTACTTATATTACGGTTACATAAATTATTAAATTTTTACAGCAGGTTGATAAAATTTATTTGTATGAAATTGATTTCTTAGCTTTGACAAGAAGTGTTTGTGGTATTTGAACAATTGGCCCGGGCTGCATAGTAATATAATTATTTGAATCATATTAGAATTTTCATTTATTCAACGACAATATTTTTATTACGAAAAAAAATGCTCTTAGAATATCTGGGTGCTGTCTGAAGTAGCAGAGCGCGTATTCAAATAAGCAATAATATTAATATAAGTGCCATTTACCTGGAGCGGCAATTCCAATTGCAGTTGTTGATAATTGGTTAGGTCGTTCACATTCTGCGCACTATTATCCTGTTTTTGCTGCCTTCTTTTTTTTGTGCGTTTGAGGAGTTCATAACTTGTTTGTCAGCCAGTCGAAACAACGGAAAAAGTTCACAGACAATGGAAAGCATAAAAGGATTTCGAAGTCGTAGTATTTGCAGTGCTGCAGTTCATGTCCTGCCGTCTGGCGTCCGCAGGACTTTTGTTTGAAATTGAAATCCTTTAAGGATGTTTCATGCCGATGCTGCTACCACTGCGGCTTCGCTTTCACTCGCAGCGAGAGTGCAACGAACTGCGTTGCGGCGTTGTCCTGCCTTAAGTATGATCCTGGTCCGTCAGGCTGTCTGCAGACACAATTCGAAATTCTTGCCAGCCAGGCAGGCAGGGTGAGAGGCACATTTGCATATATACATATATATATATAGATATATGTATATTTATATTTGAAGGGTCGGCAGGGCTCTGCTATGAAATCCTCGGGTCATGACTTCAATTTTCAAACGATAAATACGCGTATGTGCAACAGCTCTGGCAAAAGGGATATTTTGTTGGAATAAATAACCACAATTATTCTAGAGCTGCAGTAAAAGAAGCCCAGCTTAACACTAGTTTCCCACAATTGAAATCATTTGCGGCCATTCTAGATATCTGTGACAGATAACTCCTTGCACCTGTTGTGCGCTTCCCGACAAGAACTATTCTGTTGGGGTGCCTCAAGGTCGGGATGTTGTAAGCGCAGCTAGCCAACTGCTATGTGTTTGGTCTGACCCTTGTGAATGGATTTCTGTTTCTGCTTAAATCGGACTAATCAAGTGGAAGATTGCACGTTTTTTAGGTGCGCACACATCGGATATATCGACTGTGCCGGGCGGACCCTTCTCAACTTCATCATCATCATATTATCATCTGCCCTAAACCAAAAGCCCAACAACAATGCGAACTGACAATGCGAGCAGACAAAACAAAAGAGAATAAAAATAAATAAAAAAACAAGAAAGTATTGCTGTACTTGGCACGCCGATGATTAAATACCCTTGCAGACATATAACTTTGAAGAGATTTTAGACATCAACTTTATTCGGGATGGATTGTTTCTGGAAGGCTATATGACATAGTATAAACATAATCAAGCTAGTAAAAGCTCAGTTTGGTCGAGATATCTTAAAGATCAAAAGAATGTTCATACGGGAACTTAAATTGCTTCAGATTATTCTTATGGCAGCTTTTAGATATATGTATTTCAATATGTGTATTGCTTGCAAAAAGTAGTATCCATGCCTAACAGATCCATTTACAGCTGAGAGACTGATTTACATAGAAAGAGACAGAGGGATATATATGGTTCATGGGAACGGAGACGTCTCCTTCTATGCAAGGCACATTTCGCAACAAACGAGAATACCCCGAGAATACCCGCTAGGGTATAATAAAAGCACAAGAACAACAAAAACGACAACAACGAATATGTAAAACCCGATCAAGTGAGCTAAAGGATCGTCTGCCAGAATCAAGCAGCAAAACAGGCTTTGGCTGCGTGAAGCTCGTATAAATAGGAGTGCGCGACTCCTGGCCGCCTCATTCAGTGTTTTGTGCTGAGTCCAAGAGGTTGGGCTCACGGCCAGCAATTGAGCCAAGGACGGCAGCCACCAATTGGATTCGTTACGGCAATTACGGGTTGACAGTGGACGCAGCACAGCGCAGCGCAGAATGCGATTCTGCAAATTGTAATTAACATAGCTTTAAGAAACGGTTAAACAATTTAAGGAGTATCTATGACATAACCGGTTATTACGTTTCCCTTGCAGCTTGAGCCCATCCAGCACAGATCGCAGAGCAGCTGCTGCCAACTCCATGGGAATGTAATCCTTGATTTCCGGTCCGGCCAACGCCCAACGCCGAACGCCCAACGTCCAACGCTCGGCACACAACAACTACCACAACTCTTTCGGCATATATTTGGCTTTGCACATCTAAACATCATCCAGCACCGGCAGCAACAACACCTGACGATGACATTTGGCTGGCAGGCGATGGCATTCGATTGTTAGCCAGGCCGATTCGCCATTTGGCACTCATCACAAGGCATTGAATCGCACGGACCCGTTGGAAGAACCCTCCAAATGCATATTCGGCCCTTGAACAAAATTTTCATTTGTGATTAAGTTTAGGTGTAACCAATAAACAGAAAAAATATTACAATAGGCTACCAAATTGTCTCGTGTGTATTTACTTAACAATTTCCCACTGTCTACAGTCATCGATCGATAAAGTCATCTAACTAATATAAAATAATTTGAGTGATGCAATCTGAGCTGCATTGAAGGGCGACACTGTCTTTGCATTTCATATAGAACATGTGGCTGATAGGTCTTGAAAATTTGATAAAGATCTCTTAGCTCAATAAGTTTTTAAAAGAAAATCAATAAGGCCTATATATTATGCTATAATTCAAACATGGTATTACGTTTTTTTCAAAGATTGATAGTTTGAAATTAAATAGTATTTTAATTATATATTTCTTTTATTTAAAATATATATCTGCCCGCTTCTTGGGCAATCATTTAATTTTTTCGGCAAAACGTTGACACTTAAGTATTATATATTATAATTTATGACTTTTTTTTTAGTGCACTTATTCATATTTGTAATGCATGCATAATGAACATATTTCAGAAATTTATAAAAATCCATTGAACACCCAACTGAAAGTTTAACATAAATATTAAGGTAGCCGGTTTTTGTCAGTGTAGCAAAACGATATAGTTTAGCTTAATTAAAATCTCGGTGCGCAAATTGCGATTATAAAAATATGCATGAAAATGTTTTAATATACATATATTTCGTTATGATTGCTTTACACAAATGCCACGCAGTCGCATGTGAACAATAATTTATGTATATCAAGGTCAGAGGGGCCCCCACAAAAGCCTATGACTGGAACTTATGGATCAAAAGAAATAAACCACATGTGTGTATCTGTGTGTATGCTTGTGTATGTGTGTGTGTGGTGCTGCCAAAAAGTAAGTTAACTGCAAACTGGTTTGTATTACTTTAATTGTTATTATTTCACTTGTTGGCCCGTTGCCAGTTGGTAGTTGGCCTGCACAGGGCCGTTAAGGTTTGCTGTACTACATTGCCAACTAACTGATCCAGTTGCCGGCCCAGATGCTGACATTGTTCCCATAAAATATCGACAGCAAACTTGGTTAGATGTTTGTACATTTTTTTTCGTTACAAACTCGCATATTTGTCAACGTCATCGTATTTGTCATCGCCGGCTATTGTTAACGTGGCCAACAAAACGGCAGCTCTTCAAATGCCTTGCCTTAATGCCAATGCGTACAGTGTTAATGGCCATTTATTGTAATTAGCCAGCTCTAAATTCCAGTTACTTTGCGTCGTTATCCGTCAGATACAAAATTCGGTTGAGCTACAAATGCCAAAGCCAAAGGCTAAGGCAAAGGCAGAGCCAACGTTTTTGTTGACGTTTGGCTTGCTACTGAATCAATTTCAATTCGAATTTCGATTTTTTCTTCGGAATTTCGCAAGTCTTTACGGCATTGACCTTAGCCAGACCAAAGTCGTGCAGCTATTTTTATATATATTGTGGTCTTAATGCGTTAAGTGTGTAATGGTTTAATTTAATTAAATTAAGCAGGACATGCTGAGGCATTTGTACAGCTCCGATTTGAGCTTGGCTAAAGTTTTCCCCCCATTTTTAGCTCAGCATCTAAAGTGTCATTAATACGTTCCAACATTTTAGCTATATCTCTTAAAGTAAGCACATGATCATGTTTGATTGCAGACCAAGCTTACTTTCCGTTGTACTGCATATTAAAATAAGTATTTTTTATTATACTTTTTGCAGCATTATGCGATTCTCATGAGTTCAAGGAAGGCTTGCAGGATTTTTGCTTTTATTAAGAGCTTTTGTTGACTGTCTTATAAACTTTTATCTCTGCTCCCCCTGCACTTGACGGACAGAAAGATTTACGCAATACTTAAGTGCTAACGTTTACCGAAAAAATTCAATTATTGCCCAAAAAGCGAGCAGATATTAAATAAAAATAAAAATAATGTTAAAAAAATAACAAAAATATTCATACAGCGCTCTAACTGTCTAAATTTGCCTTTCACTCTCTCTTTTCTTAGTTGTCTTTTTTCTGCTCTTAGTCTAAACCGCTTTGTGCTTACTATGTTCTTGTAGTGTTTAATTTTTATATGATACTTATATTGTTTTTAACTAAACAGTATTGCATATTAAACCAATGCATACCTGGACATTGGCTATCTCCGAGTTTTGTATATGTATAACAAACAAAATTAACCAACATTGATTCTGAGTCAGCCATTTTAATTTAAGGGACGGCCATTTTGTTATTCGCTTTTTGTGTGTTTTCCCCCGGGACAACAACTCCATGCGATCCATTTGTTTATTAGTTGCGAACTTGTAAATTTTGACATTGGAAATGTGCACAGATGTATTTGTATGTATGTGTGTATTTGTATTTATTGATGCAGGCTAGATGTTACGCATTGCGTAAAAGGAGGAACAGACAGCATGATCGCGCCGTGGAAGAAAAGGGAATATGTTAGAAGTACCGCCAACAAAAACAATAGCAATGCTTTTGTAATGCACAAAAAACAGTAGAAGGAGCGCCAACAACAACATTGGGCAACTGGGCACACTTACGCAATTGAGAAAGTGAGAGAGTGTCATAATTATGTAGTTTAGCTAGACTTGAGCTGCTCTTCGCCGCGTTCAGTGTTCTGGCAGCTGCCGAACGGTTTGTGCGTGCGCGGGGGGTTGTTGCGCGTGTGATTGTAATTGTGTTTTGCTTTCGACAGGAAAAGTCTTGAGGTGAGTTAGAATAATGTATTTTTTAATGCTTTAATAGTCCCAACTATAAATAAATGTGTGTATGCATATTTAAGTGTTAAATTTAAGTGCTACTTTGATGTTAGTTAGTTTTATATTGACTTAGCTGCTGTTGACGACGCCAGTTGCCCTGCTGTCGCCAGCTTCAGAGAGCGCCAGAGCCAAATGTTGGATTTATTCTCTGCTCGCTCTCTTCTTCTTATACTCTCTTAGAACAGTAACAGTATCTTGTCTGTTATACTACTACAAATTTTGAATGATGACTGCAGATTAGCTCCTCCACAGATCGTTTCATATATTTCCATGTGTCTAATTTGAATTCGGCAGATCATTCCCACATGATCAACATTGCCTGTTCCATGTTCAAAGTTTTCATCTAAATTTACATTTACCAAAGTAGTTAATTTTCAAATAGCCAAATCTCCTGTACTACGTGTTTAATCGAAGTATCTGCAAATACAAACCCTACCACGTGCATATTGGATGTGGATATGTGTTTTGGGCAAGGGGCGAGATGGCAGACGGGATACAGTTGTGACATTGTTTAGGTTTTAGCCTGCACTCGACATATACACGAACCTCGACACGGATGCGGTTGCCGACACCGTTACTCTACCCAGACGCCAGCCAGGAGGCAATTTTGACAAAAACATTCGGCCGGGTGATCAATCTTAAATTTTCACCGCTTCTGTCAGAATTGTGCGCAGTCGACGACAGGGGACTGGGATTGGGCTTAATACTGGGACTAGGACTGGCACTGGCAATGGGACTGGCAATGGGTCTGGCACTGGAACTGGGACTGGGACTGGGCAAGTCCATGAAATGTTGACAGCAAAACGTAGAAATTCTGCTGGTTGACGAATGGGCACAGGCGGAGTCCTTTGGTACACAAACTGCGACCAATGACCAAATGAAGCGTAAATGTTCTCACTTCAAGTTTCAATAAGGAACTGCAAATTGTATTGAATAGGCTAATATCGAAAAAGGATCTTATATAGAGCTAAATAAGAAATATAAATTACATTATTTCATAAATAAATCTTGCTTTCTGTCCTTTTGACTTTCTATTGCTTATATAAATTCGATTGTCTAATGGAAATTTTATTATTTACATTGAGTTTTTCACTTAGTATGTCCAGAAATACTTCTTACATTAAGACTTTTAATCGTTGATGATAAAGATAATAAATAAATAAAATTGGAAATAATCTTAGTTTTTAGTTTAGTTAAGTTCTGTTAGTTTTAAGAAACTAAAACCTTTATAAAATTTGTTTATATTTCGGCGGAGTCCCATCCCATAAGTTCAACAATTTTTTTTGGCAAACTGCGAAATTCATGCATAAAATCTTACATGCATAAAATCTTACAAACACGTATCTTAAAAATCGTTTTTATTTGCTGAACATAATCCCACACTCTACGGGTTTAGCACCCTTCAACGCCCGAAACTCATCCATCATTAATTGTCAGTCAGTTTTGCTCTTCTTCTTTTTGCTAGGGCCAGCGCATATACATATGTATGTAAGTGTTTATTTTTGAGTTGGGCATTGAAAGAGAGAAGTTTTTTGAAGAAACTATTTTCGGCTGTGAAGTATTTCTCGAAAATCTTTCGAAAATGGCACAAGTCTAACTTAATTAATGAAATGTTTGGCTTACAAAGAGTTTTCGGTAATATTTATTCATTTATTTCATTCATTCATTGTTTAGAGTCTAGAGTTAATTGTATTGGGAATTTGGAACAACATACAAACATTACAAACATTGAATTCAATTGATTTTAGTTTTGTCATTTATTTTATATACTTATTCGAATACAATTTAAAATCATAATATTACATAATGGAATTTGTTTTCATATTTTGTTTTCTCTGTTGAATCGCAAGGGATTCAATTGAAAATGTTCACACACGATTTGAGCTACATTCGAATATTTACAAAACACATTTAGTGCAAATTTTAATTAAATTTTTGATTTCTTGTTAGATAGGATTTATATAGTTTATGCTTATGCTTAGGCTGAATTACTTTTTTTTTGATTAGGACTGGTGGAAATTTACGATAAAGTATTTTTAATTTTTACTAGATATATACAATTTTATTTTAAGTTATTTTTTTGTTTGGATTTTTTTCATTTTTTTCTTGAACGGAGAGAATTTACTTATATCGCGTGCTGGCTTTTAGCCAAATGTTTATTTTAATGAAATCTGCACCGATTTACCTGTCTCAAATATACCGAAGCGAGCCATAAATATATACATACACACACACATAGATATATATATATATATATATATATATATATATAAATGGATATTTCATTTATCACTCTACCTACTTACATACATACATACACATATGGTATGAGGACAGTCATACGAACATATTTACAGATATGTGCTACGACAAGGTGCTGCGGTCGGTGCTGTGTGGTAGTGGGTGGGAGGGGGGATAAGGGGGAGATTTGTCAGATAATTGGACTACATGGATGACATTGCAGTTTATTTACACTCGTGCTCCAACTCCGCTCTACTAGAACTAACTCAGTTGATAGTATTCCGGGGCAAAGTCGTTGGCCAGGTTGCTCAGAAAATTAAAGTCCGACGAGCTGTTCGAGTTTTCCAAGCCGCCAACCACTGAGCCGCCAGTGTTGGCAAACGCCTGTATCTGTCCAACGGGTCCTGCGGCGCCATTCAACACGAAATTCGAGTTCAGATGCGTGGCCGGCGGTGGCGGCGCAGCAACCACCTGAACGGCAGCTGCCGCGGCTGCCGGATTGTGGTGCGCGTGCAGTTGGGGATGGGCCTGGGCCTGGGCCTGGGCCTGCATTGTGTGATGCGGATGGTGGGCGTGTGGGTGGGGGTGGCTGTGCGTGGGCGGAACAGGCGGCTGTTGCTGGCCTGGGCCGGGCTCATAGTAGCCGCCGCCAAAGTTGTTGTAGCCATCGCAGTTCTCCATTTGCAGGCCAAGCGCACTGTACGTTTCGCCGGCTCCAATGTGGTGCATGTGTCTGCAAGGGATATCAAAAAATTGTTAACTTAGAAGAGATTTAATTTTTCATTGGATTTTCGAAAATGCTTCGTTAAGTGTGGAGCAGTTCAGTTGGTATGATATGGAATTCCGACAGGTGTGGAGCAAGTGTAACTTCGCACTTCAACTATATCGTTGAGTGTGGAGCAGTTGTCTTACATGTAATTTAGTTGGGTGAAGAGCAGTGCGAAGTTTACTTCGTCAAGTGTAGGGCACGGTTGCTCACCCCACTAGTTGGCTACATGTAACATAGAGGGCGCTACTTACTGTTGGTGATTTATTGGCGTCTGCTGTTGCTGGTGTTGATGCTGCTGCTGTTGTTGAAAGACTACAGACTGATGTTGGTTTTGGTGTTGGAAATTCATGTTGTCGTAGTAGGCGCCGCCCGTTTGTGTTTTGGGATCATAGAAGTTGCTCGGCCCATTGATAGGTGGCGCCTCAAAGTCACCAACTGGATGCAGCTGCTGTTGGTGTTGCTGGTGGTTCATGTACGCGCTGCCGCCATTGGTGTCGTTGTAGTTGTAGTAGAACTGCTGTTCGTGTTGGTGTTGTTGTTGACTGTTTTGATGGAAACTCGCATTGGCCGTCACATTGGCGTTTGGTTTGGGACTTAGATAATCGCCGTGCAGCGGTTGTTGCTGCTGCTGTTGCTTGTGCGGGTTGTGGTGCGGCGAGGCGGCGAATTCAATATCGTATTTGCCGTAATAATCCTGCGGCATTTGCTGCGGCGCTTGCAAAGTTTTCGGGTTCGGATTCGGATTGGCATTCGGATTGGGATAGTAGCCAGGCCCAGGGAAATACCCAGTCGGACCAGCCGCGCTGCTGCTCTCGCTCAGCGGGGAGGCAATCGCAATGGCATTCGCATTGGCGTTCTGATATCGCTTCTTGCCCACGGCCTTGGTCGCGGGCGGATTCGAGGCGACGGCGGCAGCGTCGGGGTCACGCCGGAAACTAGCCAAGCTGGGACCCGCTTCATAGCCAAATGGCGAGGCCTTGGATGAGGTGGAAACGGCCTCCTTTTTAATGACCTGCCGTGGCGAGAAGTTGCATATTAATGGTCCCAGTTGGGATTAGATCTGGACATTTACCTGGCTGTGACCGTCCATGTCTTTCTTCTTCACCTTGATGGGACTCTCGTCGATGTCCTCGTCCAGGCTAACGCTGGACGCCACGCTGGAGTCGGCGCTGATGACATTCGAGGCGGATACGGTGGTGCTGCCCAGCAGATTGGACGAGATGCCGGTTTCCAGCGATGAATTCGGAGTAACTATTATTGGATCGATGGATCAATTAGTTTGATTGGCCAGTTCTGATTACGCTTGCCAGCACTTACGACTTCCTGCGCTTGGATTATTATTTGTGGCGCTGGGCGTGTTGTTGTTGTGTCCTCGCGAATTGGACGTGGAGTCCGGTATATCGTCGGAGGGCAGCTCGCAGCCTTGACACGATTTCTTCGAATTGGAGTCTGCGTTTCACGGTAACCAAAGCAAATCAGACGGTTTGAGTGCGAAAATTGATGATTTGTTTTTATAAAGAACACAAAAATAACAACAACAAAACAAAAAACAAAAAATTAAAAAGGGAGAACAAAATATATGCTGAACTAAAGCTGAAGTTATCGCGAAAGGGGTTAGGTCTTGGCCGCATGAGGAGACGGGAAACTCTCGAGCTCGAGTCTCGAGCGAAATGCCAAAGTTGAGCCCTCCTCCAGCTGACAATGATTGATAAGCTACAGCATATTCTACTCTTCTGCCTCGAAAAGTAAAAGTGGCCCGCCAAAAGATAACCGAGTGGTTCGTGGCCCGTGGTTCATTCGAACAGGCGGCAGCCATAGGAGTTGCCATAAGTCTTGCTCATCATTTGCTCTGTCTTTAAACTGACCTAATTCCCAACGAGTTCTTGTAATGTGCTCATAGAATGGATTGTGAATTTAAAGAGCCGCCTTAAATGTTAATGGGGCTATTTTCTTATCTGTTATCTTTGTTATCAATATGGTTTAAAATGCCCTTGTGGGGGGATTATAATTTTGCCATTAGAGAAGAAGGCGGCATTTCCGACTCCATAAAGTGTATTCATCTTAGATCAGCATCGTCAATCGTCAAATCGAAATACTTGTGTGTCCGTCTGTCTGTTTCTATGCAATTTAGTCTGCCATCTTCCATCTTCAATCTTTCTGTTGTATATTTTGTAACCGGCCGGATCGGACCACTATATCATATAGCTGCCATAGCAGCGAACGGTCGAAAAGGAGGTTCTTGTAAGGAAAACTATTATGTATATCAAGTTATCTTGACCAAGCACAGTGCTCCTTATATATGTACATACATATGAGCCAAAGCTATATCATATAGCTTTCTGGGAAGAATCTGTCAAAAATGAGTTTTTGTATGATGAAAATGTTCTGCTTTGCAAGGTATTTTCACTAATCTCAGCAATTGAGAGCTTTACAATTCTCCTCAGACATCTGCGAGCCCGCAAGCCATAATTCTACAGGGTATGCTGTTCTTTCTTGTTAATACCTATTAGTAATATTAATATTAGATATTTAACTTCAAATCCATTTCTTATCTTTCACACAAGCTATCTGATATAAATAAATAAATATAAAACTATTGGCAATTTGAAGTTTTGAATCTCAAAACATTATTTTGAAACTTCAAGAGGTTGTCGAGAATCTTATAATAAATGGATTATTTTCTGTCGCCCTCTAGACAAGATTATATTTTAACTAAATTCGGAAAGTTGTTTCTACATTTCGAAATAATTCAAAATTAGAAAAGTTGATGGAAGTTCTTCTTTTGTAATCCCTACATTATGTTGAAACAATTGAATTTGAGATGCTTTACATTCTCTTTACTCGCATTTGGCTCATAGTCATAATTATCTGAATTCAAGTTATATATTCTCGATCTAACTTTGTGTATCTATATATAAATAAAGTTGGTAAATATTTTTGCCAACTCGCAACTTCAGCTTTAGTTCTTAAATGGAATTTGACTCTGCACTTACTGCTATCGGATTGATCATCGTCACCTTTGAGGCTATCCTTGTTGTCCTCGTCGTCGGTCTTCGAGAGCGTTTGTCGTTTGTGTTTCATGCGACGATTTTGAAACCAAACTTTGACCTGAAAAAAAGGCAGCAATGGCAATAAAAATTGCATTATATAATTATAGTTGAAGGCGGAGGTGGAGATGGAGATGGAGATGGAGGTGTGAAAGAAGAGCAATTAAAAAGTGTAGGAAAAGAGCTCAGCCGCAACGGACATGTGCGGATCTCAGCGACTGTCAACCTTGGCGTGCTGCAATTTATCAGAAATAATGGAATTTTTCCACCTTTCGAGGAGCAGGTGAAGGGCTGACTGGCTGAACATTGAAATAAATTGAGTCAGAATGGGCAAAGGGTGAGAGAGAGAGAGAGAGAGGGAGAGGAAGGGAGAGGGAGGTAGGGAGTGAAGCGGAGTAAAATTGCACTCACCTGTCGCTCGGTCAGATCCAAGCTGGCTGCTATTTCGATTCTTCTTGGGCGGCATAAATATTTATTGAAATGGAATTCCTTCTCCAGCTCCAGCAGCTGCGTGTTTGTGTACGCGGTGCGCAGACGTCGGGGCAGGCCGTTTTCTGGAACGAATTCAGCTGCAATTGAAAATTGCATTTCTTGTTTGAGTCCGTGAATAAATGTGAATTTGAACGTGGCTCCGGCTCTGCATAGTTACCGGAGCGCCTTCTACTAACAAATTGCATGCGCTTGAGTTCGAGTCCTGGGCGTAACCAACAACAACAACAACAAGGACAACGACAACAACGACTGACTGGCAGGAATCAAAAGCCCGCCCCGCTGATGCATTGCGACAACTTGAAACATTGAGCAACTACTGCAACTGCTGCTGGGCTGGCTGTGATTGTAATCAATCCATCAGCTCGTCACCGGCCATAACTAATTCAGCGGTGGGCCAACTATAGGAAGAGCTTCCTGTCTGCCACCTGGCCCAATGCGGCTGCAGCTGATGTTCGCGTGGCTGCCACCAAATGCGGATAACGCATCTCAACCAAGTTTTCTCGAGCGTCGCGAGCAGCTACCCAGCTCTATCTCAATCTCAATCTCAATCTCAATTTCAAGCGTTAAGTAATTAACAAAAATCTAATCAATCAATCCAGCGACACTTCAAGTAGTTCGGCTACTGTTTCTGCCTCTGCTTCTGCTTCAGCTTCAGCTTCAGTTTCTGCATCTTCGGGCTACTCCAGCTTTTGGTTAACTTCATTTGAATATCTGCTTAGGGCGCATTTGTACTGAGAAAGCAGATAATGCTTTGGAAAGTTGAGATCTCCTTTGAAAACTATATCTCCTGATATATGAACTCTATTTTAGGTTTTGCTTTCGATTTTCTTCAAGTGTTTTTACAAGCTTCGCTTGTTGTGTAATGTAAATAAATGTAAATCAAATTAAGTATATGTTTTTGGTTTTAATTATGCGAAGACTAACTGTCTGTTTTTACCCAAGCTAAACCTTAAACCAGCTGACAACATGTTTTAGACTGATTATCTATATAAAAATATCCAAAACTAAGCCTGGAACTTAGTGTATCTTCTCGGCCTTTTAAACACTTCGTCTCAGCTTTCGATCAGCTTTCCTTCATATGTAAAAATTTTAAATTCTTTTTCTAAGCAAAGGCTTTCAAAATGCAATTTGGCTATCTGTATTACGATTGATTTTACTTGGACTATTGCAAACCGAATAGAATACCCTGTAGCCAGGTCTAAAGATTTTGAGCAACGCTTTTTAGAGATGTCTTAACCTTGTGCCATAAAACCTAGACATATAAATAAATTGTACTGATATTGTTGATAAAATATTTTGATTTTTGTATTAAGTCCAAAGTTCTCTTATATCGAACGAACTGACTGCAGAGAACAGAGAATATAAGTTAACAGCTTCTGTTCGAGAATATATAACATAATTTTGTATAGATCGAGCTGTTACATATATTAACATACTCTTCTTAGCCATTTTGAATGAGTGCAGGGTATACAAAGCATAAGTTCCGAGCAAATCCATGACTTGTGCTCGTTTTTAAATGTCTAATTCAAATTTCTCATCAAGTCAGGCGACAGAAGCTATCAGCTGGCGAAGCACTTTGACATTTTTAAATTGTGTTATTCTTCTGACACAATTCAGTCACGCAGACATTGACAAAATGCGACAATTTGATTTGTTTTTATTACAGTTGCTGCCACATTAATGTACAACCCGCAACATCGTTATTGCAACATACAACTAGTATGGAAAGCATTGCTAATGACGGCAAAAATCAAATTCAACTCGAAATATGTCTTAAAAACAAAACTCACAAGTATCTGGGAATATCGTATATACTATACACTATTAAGAGGCAAAAAAAAAAATTATATAAAATATTCGCATATCATATTATGGGTAAAGGTGAACATTTTGATATTTTTGCGCGCACACCTTATTTGCATTGATGCGATGAAATTTTCGCAACCGAAAAAGGAAAATGTTTGCACGTGAATTTCCAGTTGAACGGAGCTAGGGCTTGGGCTTCGCGGGGGGAGGGGGAGGCCGGGGGGATGGGTTCTCAATAGCCAGCAAATGGCAGCCAGACATAGACACTGATTGAATTACAGATGCGAGTTCCTTCATCAATACTGCCAAAGCGGATGCCATAAACACCACCTGGTGGGGCACACACAAACACACACACACACACATACACACAACCCATTTCCCCAAATAGAAAGGCAAAGGGACACACAACAGCAGGAACACACAGGTGAGCCCCAAACCGGGAGGCTGTGGGAAGCAAGTCGCATGTTACGAGCACTTGCGAAAAGTGCCGAGATACAAGAGAGAGCAAGAGAGAGGGAGAGAGAGAGGGAGAGAGAGAGAGAGAGTGTACGAAAAGCATAAATTTCGCACAAAAGTTGCAACCAAACTGTTTACGAGCAAAAGGCAAATAGGGAGCCAGAGTGGGTGAAGGGCGGGTTTGGGCTTGAAGTGGGGCGGGGAGGGGACGGCAGGGCGAAGGCAGCCGCCAGCGACCGAAACTGAAAAGTAAAGTGCACAAAAGCAGAAAATATGATTTCCTTTTTGGCGACGACGAGCAGAAAGATAATTTTCTAAACCGAACCGTACACACAACGAGCGAGAGAAGGGGCAGAGCGGGGGCAGAGCGGGTGGTTACACTGTGCAAGATTGGAGCAAAATGGAAAGCAAGTTGGTTGCAATTTCTGCAGCCTGGTCAAAATGAAATCCCAGTACCCGGCAATGGCCCGACAGCTGGTTAGGGCATTCAAGGTATCTGAAAATTACAAAATGAATTTTTGGCAGAGCGAGCGGTGCGGTGCGGGGCAGGGCGGGGCGGGGCTGTGTGTGGTGGGCGTTGCATTGGAAATGTCATCAGCATGGATGAAATGCCGGAAAAGTCAAAACGTAACGAAACTTATCAGCAACTACGTCGGATACTTTGTGTGTGTGCAGCAGCAGCACTTGGGCACTTGGGCCCTGCCTAGCTGAAGATTTGCACTTGTGTTTTAAATCGGAGCCCAACGATATGCACACACATATATATATATATATATATATATATATATACTATATATGGCCGCATAATATTAATTTTCAGCTCGGAAGTGCTAGTCATGATTTACAGCACTTGAAATACACTTATTAACAGCGCCGAGGGCATAATTTACATGTTAACACTTAAACGCACTCGTTGACCCCTCAACCTCTCCCTCCCCCCTTCCCCTTCCCCCTTTCACACCTCCTACCGGCTCCAGCGCTTCGGTCTGACCTTTTTCAGCACTTGCACTGTGCCTCGTTGCCCGCCTGCTGCAGTCAACTATGTGAAAATTTATGTCTGCATTTTGGTCAGGCGAACAACAACAACAACAATAAGACCAACAAAAAAAATGTTGCTACGGCCACACTTAACGCATCTGCTGCCCCTGGCAGCCCGAGCTCGAAATTAAAATGAGCGTAAATTTTGCAACAATTGCAAAATGTTGCCAAAACGAACCCAAAGGTAGCTTACACTTGTAAGTTTTTCATTGCTTATTAAAATGACTACACTGCAAGAAATTAGATATGACATTTATAAAGCATTGAATTTTAGTTCAGGTAAAAACAAGAAAACAGTCGTGAAATGCTGTTTAAAAATACGATATGTACATAAATCGTACTATATTGTGGTACTTTTTTAATCATTCTTTGTGTCTTTTAAGAATTTATCAGCTTTTCACCCTGACTGATTGACTGACTGAATGACTGATTGGTAATCAATATAAGAGCTGGGAAGTTGAACTATGAGCTTATGCAATGCAAGTCTATGCTCAGCCGGAAAATTCGAGCCGCTCTCTGGTTAAAATTCATACTGGAAAGCGGGATGACGGACTAGATGATCAAAGTTTCGGGCTCAAAGCCATTGCCAAAGTTCTTTATGAAAATTTATTTGACAAATGTTTCACACTTTTCGAAAAATTCACATCTCGAGAGGGGAAACTAGGTGCCAAAGGCAAATGGCTAAGTTTTCCCTAAGTCCTAAGTGTACCCAGGACTTGGAAATTCTGATATGGCTAATGGAAGGCCATATAATAATATTTTTTTGACTTGATTTTTAACTCCAGCCTTGCTTAAAATAGATCTATCAGAGTTACCAATCACTTAAAAGATCAAATAAAATTGTTATGGGTCTCTAATTGTTCTGTTATCCGAAAAAATAGATTCTCAGTGCTGCCACCCTACTATATATGAAAGGCTTGGCAGCACTCAGTGTATGACTTTTGCTTCAGTTGAGTCCAAAATAAGAGATATAATGTATTTAACAAATAAAAGAATGAATGTCAACAATTAAGTAATATTAAACGCCGTTTAAATTCTTTACTTATAATGGGCTCAGTGTATTTGCCTCATTTAAATCATTCTCAAGTCCCATACCAAGGAATGTGGCTTTTTTGCTGGGCAGCCGCCCTTTGCCTTTTCCTTTCGCCACGACACTAAACATGTGCATAAGTACGCTGGGTCTTGGCTGTGGGCTTTGGGCTTAACCACTTACACGTGTTAGTCCATAAGGATGCACATTACGAACATTTGTGGACACATGAATGGGACAGCGGTCAACAAGGTGGACACAATTTGTGGCAGGACCTTTGAACGGCGCTGCCAAAGAACAAACACGATGACCAAAAGTGGACACTGTTCAGGGGTTAGAAAAAATGACCTCAATTTATCTTGTAAAATTTTCTGGATCTAGCTAAAACTGGCTGCCACCAGGGGGGAGGGGAGGGGGGGCGTCGAGTTAGAAGTGGCACATTCTGTGGCTTGAGTTATGTTGCAAAACTTTAAAGGCCCAGCCTGAAAGTACTTACTGGAATTTTGTGGGGAATGGAAAAAGAGATGGGCGCTGAGCACAGCGAGTGCCATGACAAATTCAATCAAAAAAGTCCGCCCAGGCTGGGAACGATGTTCAGATGGGGATTGGCTAGGTGGAGAACGGATGTGCAGCTTACATGGACGGCTTCTCGGCTTCAGCTAATTCAAATGCCAAATGCTGCAATGCGTTCTGATGCGATGCAGTAAAAATGACAACAAAAAGACACAGCTACAGATACAGATA